GTTTGGGGATGTATGTGGTATGAGCGAATGTGTTGGAAATGTGTTGGTACACGGACGGATCCAAAAACGAAAAAGGATCTGGAGCAGGAATTTACTGCAGCAGTCCAAAGACTGAGATCTACTACAGTCTTGGAAAACACACCACGATCTTCCAAGCTGAGCTATATGCTATTGAAACCTGTGTGCAACTGCTGGTAGAACAGCAATACACCGGGAAAACAATATGCATATTTTCGGATAGTCAAGCCACGCTGAAAGCACTTGAGGCAACGAAAAGCACGTCTATGACGATTCTTCATTGTAAGAAACTACTCAATATACTGGGAGATAGGAACAAAGTGTCGCTAATATGGATACCGGGACATGTCGGCCTAGAGGAAAATGAACGTGCTGATTCCCTGGCCAAAACTGGTGCAGGCTCGCCATTCGTGGGCCCAGAACCGACACTTAGCGTTCCTAAAAATCTCGCAAGAGACAGGCTCTGTGAATGGGTTAGGAGTGCGACGTTCCGGGACTGGAATGACAGTCCCGGAATGGAACATGCCAAGAAAATCCTAGCAGGGCCATCCAAACATAGAACAGGAGAACTCCTAAAGGCCGGCAGGAATGGAACGCGTGTGCTCACTGCAGTGTACACGGGCCACTGCCGGCTGAGATCTCACCTACAGAGGACGGGACTGGTGGAAGACGCCGAATGCCGACTTTGTATGGAAGATGACGAAACAATGAAGCACGTTATGTGTACCTGCCCCGCTGGGAACAGGACCAGGTTTGAGATGTTTGGCAAACCCATGCTAGACCTATCAGACCTAGGAGACATATCGCCCTCAGACATAACGGCCTATATTAGGAGGCTGGGTCTTGAGGGTGAACTTTGACGCTCTTGTAAATTAGAGCGTGTAGAAACTGAGCCACAATAGGCCCTCGCGGCCTCAGTGGAGGGTCCCCATGGGACCCACGCTTAGTCAATACAAAAATACAATTTATGAGCGAGGCCTGAGAGTGTTCGGAGTAATGAACAGCAAACAAGTCGTGTACGAATACTATTCTCAGTAGCGATGGGAACTATCGAATGAATTAGATTATCGAATGGTTACTGAATGAATGATTTCAACTATCGAATGGTCTCATTCGAATAAAATCATTCATTCATTTGTATACTAAAGCATATGTGACAACCTCGCCGTGCGACTAAATGGTTATCGTTAAGCCAAGACTATCGAATGCTTTTGATAAATGAAATTTAGTATTCGTTTGATTTTTGTCTGCGTCAGTGCATTATTAGTTCTTCCAAATTTTTATAACTTGCCTTCTAAATACTGTGCTATTTTTGCGTTTATTAAAATATTTAAAATACTAAAGTAGCAGTGATTTTTTTAATTGACGATTGTGTACGTGTGCAGGTGGTCAAAATTTTTCCGAAAATTTGTGTGATTTTCGGATCTTTCAATTATTTAATTTTATACGGTATATGGTCTATTTTTTTAATGGGAAATTTTGAGAAGTAACAATTTTTAAGAGAGATGAGGTGAACTTACAATTAATTTTAAAAATACATATGTATTTGTATTTTAGATGTTTTAGTAATATAAATTAGTTCAACTTAATAATCATATTTAAGTAATGTGGTAATGCGGTTAAGTAAATGATTATCGAACTCAAATTTTGGGATGAGAAAATTAAATTGATTGATTAAAGTTTTACACGTGCCAATTTAAAAAAAAAAGTTAACGATATTTGAATTTTGTTTATGCTAATTCTCTTACATGTAGATTTTTGCGAAGAAATATTTCATTTATTTTTTAAAGTAAATGCCAGTAAAAGCAAATATTATTTTTAAATACTAATACAAAGTAATAAAAAGTAATACACATATAAAATTTTGATTTTTAATTTTTTATTTATATTTTTCTTATATATATATATACAATGCATGCTTAGAAAATTAATAAATGTTTATATTTCATGATTTTAAAATTTGTTGTTAATATAACGAATTAGTTCTGTAATTATTATTATTTAATAAACCAACGTTGCCAAAAAATGTAGAGACTATATTATTTTTAAATAGGATCTAATATAAATAATTTTAACTTCTAATTTGTTGTTTATATTTTGCTACTACTTAAAAAAATGTTTATATTAAATGATTTTAAATTTTGGTGTTAATAGGTATAACAAATTATTACTGTTATAATTATTTATTAAACCAGTTTTGCTTAAAAACATTAAAAATAATTTTCCTACATCCAAAATAAAAAGTATTATTGTAGTGTAACAACAGAATATTAATAAAAAACATGCAAAATATATAGTCATACTATCCCTAACTAACTATAATACCAAAGAATAATATTCTTTGCTAATACCAACTAATACGAATATACGGCAACAGCGCCGTTCATAATGTAGCACCTCAATAAAAAAAATAATGTGTCCTTATCTTTATCTGACTCAAAATCAAAGATGCCGGTTTTTTCATACCATTGCCACCGACCGCCGACCGCTGTCGGGTTTCTAGGAAAGAAACCTACGTCGCCGGGCGACAACTAAAATCCAGTTTATATTTTATTATAATCGATCCTGACGAATAAATGAATTTTACAAATGAATGAATTTTATAAATGAATGGTTTTTGCTGCCGAATTAATATATTTCAAGGCAGATGACGCATCTATTCGATATTTTTATTCGAATAGTTTTCAACGAATGTTTTCTTACTAGCTATCGAATTATTCGAATGAATTGCAACTATCGAATGTTTCGTTAGTATTCATTCGATAGTTCCCACTACTAATTCTCAGTTCAACTACTAGTAGGTACGTTGATATTAGCATATTTAGAAAAAAAAATTATAAAGTTTTGATATGTTGAGGTTATACGTACTAAAAGGAGACTTTTTAGAATCAAAAGAGTTCCTAACTGTAAAGTTTGAGCTTCACCCCCAAAAACAACCCCCAATACGCACTGCGGTGGTTTTTCTTGTTTTTCTCGAAAACCATTAGTCGCACAGAAAATTTTATTCTGATCAAAAATATTCCCTATAAAATTTGCTACAAAAAAAGTTCTATTTATTATTTATATTTATCCAATGTATTTCGAGCAATAACCGTTTGAAGAATGGAGTACAAAAAAAATACAGATCGCCTTTCACATTAGACTCCCAAGGTATTTTAACGTGCTAAATATACACGCAACAGATATAATACTGTATAATATAAACAAAAACATTGCCTATTACACTAAACTAACATTCATACCTTCATCTACATATTGTCATCGTCTCTAGAATGTGCTCAGTATTCGAACAACTTTGCCCACGACAAGTTCCGCACATAGTTGTACATTTCATGCCGGCTTTAATGCAACTGCATCTTTTTACACAATATACAAATATCTGAGAAAAATGAACAAGTTCTAGTCGTTGGACAAGATGTCGATCTTGTTGTTTTATTAGCAGCACTTTCCCCCGATGACAAAGACATTCTTTTTCTGAAAGAAGCCATAGGTAATGTTAAACAACGAATGTATAGTGATTTTTTGGAAAAGGAAAACAACAACACGTACAAATATTTAATAAAGAAAAAGACCTTGATAGTATCGTCGATATTTTTAACAACGCAAAATCAACACCTGAAGAAATTGAAAAAGCTGAAGAGACGTTTATACTGAAACTGTACAAACTTCAATCATCTGAAGGGAGCCTTGGTGAGCAAAGATACGCTTGTTTCAATAAGTTAGTTGGTGAACTACCACCACGGTACTTTTATCAAAATTGCCTCCCACATCTGCTGCAGCTAGGTAACATTCCCGGAGAACATATCTTCAAGTACAAATATGGTAAGAACAACCTATAAAACCCGACCAGTGGAGCTGGAAGAAAATCAACAACGCCCTGTCACCTTTATATACAACAGAATCGCCCGCCCCTGCTTCAATTATGTCATTAATGACGTGCAACTGCAAACAAGATTGTGTAAAACGATGCAGTTGCATTAAAGCCGCCATGAAATGTACAACTATGTGCGGAACCTGTCGAGGGCAAAGTTGTTCGAATACTGAGCACATTCTAGAGACGATGACAATATGTAGATGAAAGTATGAATGTTAGTTTAGTGAAATAGGCAATGTTTTTGTTTATATTATACAGTATTATATCTGTTGCGTGTATATTTAGCACGTTAAAATACCTTGGGAGACTATAATTTGAAAGGCGACCTGTATTTTTTTGTACTCCAATTTTCAAACGGTTATTGTTCGAAATGCATTGGATAAATATAAATAATGAATAGAACCTTTTTTGTAGAAAATTTTATAAGGAATATTTTCGGTAAGTATAAAATTTTTTGTGGGACCAACGGGTTCTGAGAAAAAAGCGAAAAGCCATCGAAGGGGCGTGTTGGGTGTGGTTTTTTGGGGTGAAGCTCACACTTAAAGTTAAGAACTCTTTTGATTTTGAAAAGTCTCCTCTTGGTGCGTCTAATCTCAACATATCAAAACTTTATAATTTTTTCTTCTATTCGGCTATTTTAGGTTTAATATAAATATACTATACTTATTTTGTAGATGATCATTCCAATTCGGAAGAAAATTGACCACTCTTTCCAAAAAAATTAAACTAATTCTTGTAAACAAAATGTGACACCGAATTTGACAATGACAAAATCATATTTTTACTGGTGTTTTAATTGTAGCTTTCTCTGGGCCGCATTATAATGTTTAGTAATTTGAAGGTAATTTTTGCAAATAACATTTAGATGCAATATTAATTCCAAATAAAACAAACAGATACAGATTCCAAATAAAACAAAATTCTAGATAAAAGTACAGCTTTAACGCAACTCTTCAAAAAGGTCTAACACAATGTTTGCATAAAATCATCTGGGAAGATAATATTCAACCTTTTTAAAATTAACATTGGATTTCTTACGTCCGGTGTTCCGATGCACCACACGGTATAGTATTTTACAAGACATTCAATTTTGTTATTTTATTTACAGAGCCGATCACAAAATATGGAGGATATGGAAATACGTCATGCTAATGGACGACTGGAAGAAGAGCCCATTCTACGTACTGATAGGCCTCATGACCTTGTACAAACCCTATAAACTATGGCTGGTGTATTTGGCTGGAGGCTTGGCCATCTCCTTAGCCATTCTGCACATCGTGACATCGATATGCCAGAAGATCCACAGAAGAAAACGGAAGAGAAAGGAACACAGATTTGGGCATGGCGATTTAGATAGTTTGGAAAGGTAAATTAGATAGGGGGTGTGTCATAGGGGACTATTTCAACTGATATAGCAGAAAGGATATTTAGAGTGAGTCTGAAAAGTTGGAATGATTTGACTAATTATCATTAATTTATTTCGATCAAGCCATTCAAAATTTTCAAACTTTATAAAAAGTAGGTATCAGAATTGTTCAATCAGAAACTCGATAACTCAATAACAAAATAAATTCGTATTTCTTTTAAACTCTTGAAATGTATCTATGCCTTGGTTTATCTGAAATAATGAACAATTATTTCAATAAAAAGAAAAGGCTCAGTGTTTTAGTGTATAGACATGTGGCTGAGGTTCCCTTTCTTTCTTAAGAAATAATTTTCAGTAATATATTGTGTATCAAACGATTTTCCAACCATTACCTTCCTATCTCAGGATATTTATAGAATATAAATCAAAATTAGTAAACAACAGGTGTACCTCAGTCGTTAAATCGGCAGCATATTTTCATAAATAGCTCTAAAAAATAAATTGCCCTCTTTTGATCCATAAACATTTATTATCCCTATATGTAACCTTAATATGCCATTTATGTGGTTTTGCGCACGGATAGAGGGATATGATCGTAAATCTTACAAAATAGCGGTGTTTATTATAAAAAAATAATAAGGATTTATAATAATTGGTTTCAAAAGATTTTTTTATAAAAGTTCAGTAATATTGGTTTGGTAAAAATTCCCTAAAATTTTGTTTGCTATTATTGAAATTTTATTATTTATTGAATTGCTTTAAATTGCTTTAAGTTCCACTTGGAAAACAGAACGGTTCTAGTCCAGTTAGTGGAGTGTTCGCTCCTTCTCTAGCTAGATCGTTTACTTTTTCATTGCCTTCTATCCCTTGGTAAGCGGGCACCCAGAGTACGAAGACTTTATTTTCTGTCTAATTTCTTCAGTTTCTCTAGGCATTCTTTGAACAACTTCGAATTGATGGTTACTGAGTTGATCGCTTTTAGTGCTGCTTGACTATCGAATAAGATGGCTATTTCCTGTTTTCTGGTTGTAGGATGCTGGGGTAGGTGTCCATTGGTTCGGAGTATTTAGTTTTCGGCCCAAATACTCCTATCCCCGTCGCTACTTTGGTTTTCGAAGCAGCAGTCTACGATGTTATGGTATGGTCTTTTACATGCTGAGCAAACGTTTCTCTCTTCCAATCCTTTTTATTGCTCAATACTACAGTGAAGTGTTTCTCAGAGTTGCACATTCTTGCTATATCATCCACTGTTGGGGTAATGAAATTTTCTTTTTGAAAGTGTTCCAAGACCCCTGACCTGAAAATTCTTCCAGTACGTTTCCGTCAATGGGCATTCTAATCATTGTCGCATTGGCATATTAACCGACAACAATGTATAGTGGTGTTAGCTCTAGAACGACTTCAATTGCTGCTGTTGAGCATGTTCTCTTGAGCATGACATCTGTGATACAGATGCAAGCCAGTCTCTGTGCTTTGCACAGATTTAGCCTTGATGTACACAAAACTAGAGTTTATGTGCCAAACACCTGCTCCATAGGTATCATGAGTCTTACTATCTTAGTATAAATCCAGCGCAAAATGTTAAGAGCGCAGCCCCATCTATTTCCCGCCAGTCTTCTGCATATTATAAGCTTCTTTGTGGCTGTGCTGGTAATGTTATTAATATTCCTGTTCCATAGAAGTTTACTGTCCAGAGTTATTCATAGATATTTGACTTCCTGTGATGGCATTTCCTTTCCATATAAATGGATTTTTTTTCAAGTTCTTCAGATTTCGCTTTCTGGTGAATGGCACTACCGCGGTTTTGTCTGAGTTGATGCTCAGCCCGACAGTCCTGCACCATCTCTCAGTGATACGGAGTCCTCTTTGGATAATATCACACAGAGGGTGCCTTAATGTTTCCCCCGAGCAAAGATGACAGTGTATGGTAGACAGATAATATGATGCATGTAAAATACGATCGAAAAAGAACGGCGTCAAAGATGGCATGAAACTGAAGATCGCTGTCATTTTATTATGTAAAATTATTTGGGAAATGTTATCGATCGTCATTTCCAAGCTAACTGAACGCAGTTTTTTTCGATCATACGGTATATACTGGTCTGTTGCAAGCTTGTGATAAATTAACTTATTAATAACTCAAATTATTAGGTAATATTATAAATGACATGGTCGAATGGCCAATAATGACATTAAAACATTAAAGTATAATACCATGTTTTAAATCAAAAATTAGATTTAAATTAAAAGTTAATTAGATTTAGCTACATATACAGGGTTGCGCCTCCTTATTTGGCTAATTAAAGTTTTATTAATTTTCCAGCAGTAAATTTGAAGAAGTAACAGAAGTCTTGGACGATGGTATGCCAGAACCCATTGCTGGTAGTAGCGTGTCTCTATCGGACAGTTTGCATACTGAACAAGATACTATTCTTGAAATTTGACCAGAAGTACACCAACCACCAGATCTATATAAGTAAGTAGGATATGCATGACTTAAATAATTTATGATCAAGCGTGCTTTATATGATGGCAGATTAAAAAAAGTCTTATACTTAAGAAATTACTTTTGAATAAAAAGACTAAAGCCCCGTAAGTACTCACTATTCGCTGATTCGGTTCGTTGATGCGATTCATTGGTTTGCTTGGAAATTCGTCCATTCTGTTCGTGATATTTGTTTTCATGGTTCGCTCAGAAACCGACATTCTACCGAATCGGCGTATTGACGAACCGAATCAGCGAAAGCCTCGTTCTCAGAATTACGTTATGTCGCTGGCTACACTGGTTGACATTTCAAAGAACCAATGAGAGTTGTACTAAATTGAAAATTGACATTTGTTTAAATTTTCTTGAGAAGTCCCGTTCGAAGTGTCGCCAGCGACAGAACGTAGTTCTGAGAACGGGGTTTAAAGCCAAGGTTATTAACAGTTATTAAATGTTAAGGTTGTCTCGTAACTTTTGAACCAATAGGAGCAAAACGGAATAGCATCCCTCTGACGTAGATAGAGCGTATAAAATCATAGATAAAAGGAATAAATGGAATCACTCCGAATCATTCTTTATTTCTGACTAAACTTTTTGCAATGAAAAAAATTGGTATACAATTTTAAGATAAGGCTTTTTGTTGTAAATAAACATGACAATAAAGAATAAATGACTGCTGCGATTTATTTTCTTCTGAATTTTGTTTCAGTAGTAAAATTACAAGATTGTCCGGTAATTTTCATTCTATCCAAAAAATAAAAATGTGCCTTATTTTGGATTAACAGATGTACAGAGGAGAAGAATTATTGCTCTCATTGAACAAAGCCAGCGACAGATCATAGTTCTGAGAACGGGGTTTAAAGCCAAGGTTATTAACAGTTATTAAAAGGTAAGGTTGTCTCGTAACTTTTGGACCAATAGGAGCAAAGCGGAATAGCATCCCTCTGACGTAGATAGAACGTATAAAATCATAGATAAAAGGAATAGAAAATAAAATGCAACCAACAAAGAGAGATAAATGGACAATACAATAAATAAAACACACATCAAACAACTCAAAACTATTGACGCCTACACTATAAACAATAAAGTACACAATGAATATCGATTCGGAACATGCACTGTTGGACTGTGGGCTGTATACGAAAAAATGCTTTTCGTGGGTTTTAATTTTATTGAGAGACACAACAGTTTCAATAAAAACTATTTATTTTGCACATTTTTTTCAACCTCGACCGGCCTCGAAACTCTTGGCGCGTCGTCGTCTTCGAAGCGAGTCGTTAGGCTCACAGAACACACTAAAGAAGAACGCTAACTCCCATGCATTTTTTAGTTTCAAAACGGTTTCAAATTTGTAAAGAAATCTGTAATCTGTATGTTGAAGTGGCGCCATCTAGCCACCCAGGAAAGTAACAAATGTGGCGGCAAATTTAAATAGATGCAATTTATTTTTAAGCAAGACGTATTGACTTGTTCGCCAGTTAGAGCCAATCAGATTTCTACAAAATAATGTGTAGTCATCTGATTGGTCCCAAGTTGGCAAACAAGTCAAATGGTAAAAAACAAGGATTTATATATAAAGGTTAAACCAGGTTAAACTATTGTAAAGTGTTAAATGGTTTGCTTATATCATTTTATGTGCATAAAAGCCTACAATAAATAATTTAATTTAATTTACAGAAAATTATACCATGAAACATTTTACAAACAAATAAAACAACCGATTAAAAAGTATAATATTTATTATAGTACCAGATTTAAGAACACATAACAAATATCGTTGGAATACAAGAGAAAGTGACGTCCATTTGAAACAATGTTTTATTTACGTGTACTTTTTACATATGGACTTGAACAATTGTGTAATATCACATTGTGGAGTTTATGTACAAAAATATGGAGTTGATCAATTTTTCTTTGTAAAATATATGGCGTTAATATTACATTGTTAAAAAATAAAATTCACGAACATTTGGACTTGGTTAGGTTACCTCACCTCACTTTCTCGGATTATTAAATAAAATTGTTAGATAAATCAAAGACCTTTAACTTAAACCTTACCTTTAATAAAGATCTTAAAAATCAAAAACAAAACAAAGTTCAAAAATTCAAAAATACAAAATCAGGATTGTAAAATGAAGATTGCAAAAAACACAGCCAAACAACCAGAAAACAGCGAAACGCACATCTCCGTTCAATTGCAAAACACAACTGAGGAGAAAGGAGGAAGCCGGAAACGGAAAACTGATTTGACATACAGAACAATGACAAAACATAATTAATAGGCCTATTTAGGCAACTATAAAGACAATTTTGTACGCAATTGTTAGGCAACTAGAAAAATTAAAATAAAAATACGCCATCTAGCGCCCCAGGAAATTACTACCCCAAAAAAAGATCGTTCAAGGTCGTATATCTCAGTTGACTGGCCCTGGTTAGGCTCCTCCTACTTCCTTTCCGTTTTTCACGTCAAGGCAAGGCGCCAAATTTGAATTATAAGTAGGGAGGGGCATATTTAGTGCTATATCGATATACGATAACAGGGCAGTTTTTATTTCAATAATTATTAATTCAATAATTAAAAATTAATTAATAATAAAATTAATTCAATACACTATTAATTCCTATGACGTTTTCGATAATGGCGGATCGAGTTACGAGACAACCTTATATTTTAATAACCTTGGTTTAAAGCCCCGTTGTGTCTCTGGTGATAGTGGTTGACACTTCAAAGAACCAATGGGAGTTGTTTAAATTTAAAATTGACCGCTGTTTGAATTTTGTACAAATCTCATTGGTACTTTTGACCTATCGCTGGCGACACGACGAAGTTCTGAAAACGGGGCTTAACTATTCGACCGTTTTTTGACAGTATTTTTTGACGTTTCATTTGACACATTTGAAATTGATATGATTTTTTGGGGCTATATAATTGCTTTAATTGAACATGGTAGAGATATGGTAGAAATTAGCGTCTCTGCTAGATAAACTGCCAACAAACTTTAATAATATGACTTTTCAGTGACAGTGATCCTAACTGAGGCTTATTTTTTTCGCGTTAAAATTAAATTCACCATTAAGAAAATATGCACCTTGAGGATAATATGATTTTTAACTTCCTTACTTTGGTAAACCATTCTACAGGATGATTGAAACTTTCTCCCGGCCGTGTAATAGACAGTTGAGAACTTTCATTCTAACCCCCGGTGTTTTCAGGTACAGATAGCGCGTTATAATCTGCCAGATATATTTTATTTGATGGATAGCAGAAAAACATGTATTTTCACCTATAGATAGCAATATCTATTAGATAAAATAACCTTATCTCTCAGATATATTGTTTGGGACCTGAACTGCCAAATAGCGCTTTATTTGTTGGATAAAATTTTGACTCATGGGCAAAGGCATGAGGAGATATTGATTTTATTTGACAAAATAGACTATAACCATTTTAGAACGTATGTGGTACAAACAAAAAACTATTGTTGCTAGTGCCGGACTTTATAAGGAGTGTTGCAAAATAAAAAGAGCCTCCGTTAGAGCATCAGAATGCATTAAGTCAGAATAATAGTGATGAAACAGCAATTTATAAATTATTTTACTTAAATGCCTTCAATCATAAACCATTATGTATTTAATAAAGCTCTGAAGTAGGTAAAAAATAAACAAAACTTTTTAAATCAAGCTATTTATTTCATTTTTAATTCGCATATCTTAATTTATTAATACTATAACAGGAACCTGTTATACAACTCACATTTGCTTTTATTTCTTTTGTGTTTTTGTGTTACAATTTTGGTTTAATTTCTTGCACTATGTACCTTATACATCTCTACTTCAAGCTGTTTTTTAAGTAACTCTCTATCTAAACCTTTCTAAAACACCTGTGTTGTGGTCCTTTGAATTCCAGTTGGTTCAACTTTTTACGGTTAAAAGGTTTATTAATATCAACTTTCTTTAGACAAAATTTTTCCTTTTTTTTTGAAGTTCCATCACTTTGAGTTCTTAAAAATAAAAGTCATATGACATTTTTTTATTAAATAATTTGTACATATAATGTGTAAATGTAACAATTATTATAGGTGCTATTAATTTATTATTATTAAGACAAAAGTATGTAAAATCACATACCAATAAATGAGGAGAAAAAACCGCGGTACTGGTCTTTGGGGTTATAATAATATACTTATTTTCAATCGTGCTTTTCTAAAAATAAATAATATAAGTACGTTTATCTATTTTATAAAATAAAAACTCACCTTAATTACTATCATCGATGCTATCCTACCTATTTCTTTACTATGAGAAGCCCTAGAACAATAACATATTTGTTATTACTAACAACCTTATGCTATTTTTAATTTTCAATATTAATAATTTAATAACTTGCCAAATAGTGGTTTTAGGATTTGTCTATAAATCTCTGCTTGTACTTCACCAGCTTCTTCCATATTTTCTATTATCAATTGTACTAAAATGTTAATATAATAAATATAAAAGTAATATCATGTAATTAAATTATAAATTACTTACAGATTATTTTTTTCTTGTTTTAATTTCTTATAAATCGCATTCCATCAATAGATCTATTTCACCACTGCTGAAATTGAATTATCTTTCCCTTTTTCCATAAAGGTAAAATTAAATATCCTATGCCATAATAGAACTGGTCGGAGTCGAACACAAAATATATTTTAGTTGAATTTTATTTTTTTATTTTCATTTTGACGATCTTTTGACAACTGAACCATAACCTCACTTTTTAATTTAACGATTTGAAATTCCGAGTTTTTGTCTCTGTTTGTTGTATAGACTTTTCATATATAACCATCTCAATTTCAGATATCTTATATTGGCAACACTTTCTCTACGGAGTGTCTAACGGTCCGTCCTTCAAATTGTTATCTTTTGGATTATTTTGTATGAAAATACCCAAATGTTATATCCTATAGATAGCAGGCTTTAGATTGTTTATCTTTTAGATAGTTATTTGTTAGATAAAAGTTATTTATTTATAACTGAAGAGACGGCGCCTTAGAGGCAAAAAAGTCAAATAACTTACCTATAAAAATTGCGTAAAAAAATTATCACAATCGGCCCACTAGAACAAAATATGATGAACAAAATATGATGAAACTATGAGACCTTCTGTTTCAAAAGATTCTCTAGCCACTCTGCTGGTATGGGGAGGTGCATTATCGTGCATGAAGTTAAAATTATCCCCAATTGCAGCCCTCCAAAGCCTAACGATTGGTTCTAGCACTAAATCAACATACCTCCGACACGTTAAAGTTTGTTTAAGTGGTAACAATGGAGTTTCTGCTACCAGCATAACACCTCCCCAACACATTACAGTTCCTCCTTTATATCTTGTTACAGATATGACAACCTGGAGTCTCGCTTGTCTTCCTGCAGCTTTGAGAACCCGAATTCGAGGGTCATCTGATTCATTTAGCCAATTCTGATCTCATCCGAAAAAAGAACAATTTGTCAATTCTCAATTGTCCAGTTTGGATATTGAAGGCACCAATTTAACCGGTCAATTTTTTCTGCCGAGATAACTCTGGGACCCGTAACTCTCTCCTGCTGTACAACCTTCGAGCACGAATCCTTTTTCTTATGGTTTCAACTGAAACGTTCGCACCTGTAGCTGCCAGAACTTGTCTTTATAGCTCTGAATGAGAAATATTGGGATTCCTACTAGCAATTTGGAATACAAAGCGGTCTTGCTGTTCAGTTGTGACTCTTTGACAACTTTGTCTGGGCCTGTTCTTGAGGTTTCCTAGTTCGAAATACCTTGCATATGTTTTCGATACAACACCCGAGTAACGCTTACTGTCTCTGCTACGTCTCTTAGTTCTTTGTTCAATGAGAGCATTAATTCTTCTCCTCCAGGGGCGGATACAGAAATTTATTTTAGGGGAGTTTGGTTAATAAATAAAAAGTAATGGACAATATGGTTTTTAGAGCGCCATTTTTAATCCGAAAGCCTAATATTCGACCAAATTTATAGATTTTAGGAGGGGCCCATGGGCCCTCCCTATGTATCCGCCACTGTTCTCCTCTGTACATCTGTTAATCCAAAATAAGGCACATTTTTATTTTTTGGATAGAATGAAAATTACCGGACAATCTTATAATTTTACTACTGAAACAAAATTCAGAAAAAAATAAATCGCAGCAGTCATTTATTCTTTATTGTCATGTTTATTTACAACAAAAAGCCTTATCTTAAAGTTGTATACGAATATTTTTCATTGCAAAAAATTTAGTCAGAAATAAAGAATGATTCGGAGTGATTCCATTTAAGTTTTGTTGTAGTGTACTTATGAGATTGCATTATGTACCTGGTGAACGGTTGCAAATTGTGATTGAGATATGAACTGTAATTTTTAATCGCCTTATATTATCAAATAAACATTGTAGGGAATTAGGGAATCACTAAATCGACAAGCTTATATGAAATATCTCCTTATATCTTCATTTTTAAAAAGCGATCGCCACTAAAATTTCCACTTATTTTACTATCTTGAAAAAAATATTGTTACGGATTCCGTGGGTCCACTATTTAAACTCACGATAAAATACTTAACGAATTTATTTGTCTCACTCTGTACACACAACTTATGCTATTTACAACACAATTTATGCAACTACTATTACTCTAACGGTATTTCGCGGTATTATCAAACTTCAGACTTCAGACTATCTTCAGACTGGTCCAACTGTCACAGCGCGAGCCTTATATACCCCCTGCGATGGTTTCTGAAATTTTCTAAAGAATTCTGTAATTTTCTTTTACTTTCTGTCGAATTCGCCAGATTCCTCAATGCACGTTGCAGTTATGCAACCAGTAATACACCTTGACCTTAACATTGCCCCTTCACAAATTTGATCGTCCCGATCAAGGTTTCCTGTCTGGTATCTCTTCAATCGATCCAGATGAACTACTTTCATCTTACTTCTAGGGCTGCGTTGAATCCGGTACACAACATCATTTATCCTCTTGATGACTGTATAAGGACCTTCCCATGCTGGAGTTAACTTTGGGGACCTTCCTTTCTTGCGCTGTGGGTTATACAACCATACCCTATCGTCCTGTTGAAATCCCTAGAATTAGCTCTGAGGTCGTAACGAGCTTTCATCCGGTCACTGGCTAGCGCAATCTTACTTCTAACGGTCTGATGAATTTCCAATAACCTTTCCTTCAGTTCATCCGCGTAGTCCTCTACGTTTGTGGTGCCGTCGTCTGGTGATCCGAACGCCAAGTCACAAGGCAACCGTAATTCTCGACCAAACAAAATCTTCGATGGTGAAAGTCCGGTGGTGTTGTGAACTGCACTTCTATACGCCATTAGGAATAGCAGTATGTACTGATCCCAATCTCTTTGATGTTCGTCCACCATTTTCGAGAGGTGTTCTTCAATGGTCTTATTGAATCTTTCGACCATCCCATCAGACTGCGGATGTAAAGCCGTTGTCCTAGTCTTGTGAATACTAAGCAGATCACACATCTTCTGAAACAGTTTTGACTCGAAGTTCCTTCCTTGATCAGTGTGAAGCTCTAAGGGAATTCCAAATCTACTGAAGACATTATTGACTAATACTTCAGCTACAGTCGATGCTTCTTGGTTTGGAATGGCAAAAACTTCTGGCCATTTACTGAAATAATCCATCGCCACTAAAACGTACTTGTTGCCCTTGTGCGTTTCAGGGAATGGGCCTGCAATGTCAACAGCAATTCTTTCGAATGGAAGTCCCACGTTATATTGTTTCATTTTTCCCTTAGACAAGGAAAGAGAGAGGACGCGTAACAGAGCGTCGAAAGCGAAGCAAATTTGAACCAAACGAGTTCTGTGAAATTGCACCATGGGCGTATCATTAGGGTTGGAAGTTCTTAATTAAATTAATTTCGCGTTATTTAGTAAAATTTGAGTATTGTAAGAAATTGATTTATAAAGCGGATTGTTGACAATGTGTATTTGTCAATAGTTTTAAATATTAAACAAATGGTGTATTAGATATAAGAAATCAATGGAATAAAACCAAAAATATTTTTACATTTTATTTATATTAATATTTAATACAACAGTTATGAAATTATAAACTAAAAAATACATAAAAACTTATAAAAATACAACCTATTGACCTTTGAATAATATTGTTTTTGTCAAATAATTCCTAACTGGATCCGAAATTTCCGATTTCCTCTTAGTAATGAAATGTATTCGGATATTAACATATTTTATAATTATAGATTCAATTAGAAAATATATATGATTCGAGTTCGTGTTTAAAATGTGGTCCTGTAATTTTGAAAAATAATTATTTTGAAGGCATACAAACATTACCTTACTTTTTAAGAAATCTATAAAAAAATTTGTAGACAATTTTTTACTTCAGCTGATGTAGAAGGTACTTCAATATTTTCTCTACTTCTTTTGGTAGCCTAATTAAAAAAAAATCAATAACCTTAAAAATGAGAAAAGGATCCACTTACTCGCTTTGGTGTTGACTTTGGTTGAAGATATTTTGGCAATGCCTCGAACTTAATGGGTATGGCTTCACCGAGTAGATAAGTTTTGTTGCTGTCAGTACGATAAAAATATTTTTGTTCAAAATGCTTTGAACCAAGCCTATCACTTGCTGTCGGTTTAAAATCTGTAAGATGCATGTTTCTCACCCAAATTGAGAGTAGCTTCTCATTTTTCAAAGGAAATCTTAAACAAAAGAAAATTAGCAATATTTAATAAAATTAAAACTACAATACTATTATTTCGACATAATTAACATCGATAGGAAAAATTATAATGTAATTCTACCATTAAAAATATCCACGCCACTGGTGAAAAGTTCTTGTTTAATCAAAGTTGACAAATTAACTAGATAATTATGAATGAAAATATTCAAAAGCACTGTTCACACAAAGAAAAATAGTTTACTTAATACAAGCTTAAACTACTGCCTTTAAATTAAATCGATATATTAACTATTCTGTAAGATATTTTATAAAAATTAGACCAGGGCTAAGAACAACGGATAAGTTTTTACCTGTGAAACGTAATTCCCGGCTCCTTCCTATAACTACTGCTATTGCAGCCGTAGGCTGCACAACCAACCATTGTTTTCCACTATAAAATATCAGTCTTTAATTCAATATTCAATTTTAATCACACAAAATACGTTTGGTTCTATTGGACCAACAATATGGCGTCGCATCGAAAATCGGCACAAAACTGAGTCACTGGCAGAATACGAGGTTATCCGTCCCCTCTCTTTCCTTGTCTAAGATTTTTCCCCTAGATCGAGTGCTTGGTCCTTGGCTGGCTGCACAAGTTTAACATTGTCGACACCATTTCTTGATATCTTCGCAATAATCCACCCAGTAAAAACGATCTCTCAGCTTGCTCAAGGTCTTGTTTACTCCAAGATGGGCTCCAGTTTTACCACCGTGAATTTCTTCCAGTACCTGGGTAACTTTCTTCCTTGGTACCAGTAACTGAGTTGTTACTGTCCTGCCATCCGCACTTTCCCACGTGCGCTTTAATAATCAATTCTCAATAACCAGTGAATTCCACTGAGCCCAGAGAGCTTTGAAAACCAGCCCTCTGTCCGCAATATCCTGCCACGGTGGTCTCTCGCCGTTACCTGCCTTGAGCCGTAGTATTGCACCGATGTCTGGATCTTCCATTTGGTCTTTCCTCAATTGTGTCGTCGTCCACTGCTCATCAGCTCTAAGCTTAAAACTCCTTATCGTGACAGTGCCTTCACGTTGTTCCGTTTTGCTGCAGTGCTTACAATCGGTTTGACAAGGTCTTCTGGATAAACCGTCTGCGTTACCATGCATTTTTCCAGCACGATGTTGGATGGTAAAGTGATACTGCTGGAGCTTCTCGAGCCATCGTGCTATTTGGCCTTCAGGTTGTTTCATCTCCATAAGCCACTTGAGAGCCGCATGATCTTTCCTAATTAAAAATTCTTAGCCGTACAGATATTCATGAAAATGATCAACTGCCTTTACAATTGCTAGCAGCTCCTTCCGGGTAACGCAGTAATTCCTTTCCGGTTTGGATAGAACTCGACTGTAATATTCTATCACTCGTTCTTCGCCATCTTGCTCTTGTGAAAGCACTGCACCTAAGCCGATGTTGCTGGCGTCTGTGTCCAGGATATACCTCCCTTGTTGTTGCGGGTAGGCTAAAATAGGACTTGAACATAAAACCGCCTAAGTCTTCCAAAAGCTACATCACAATCGGTGTTCCATTCGTAGCCGACTTCATCACCTGTAAGCCTATGTAAGGGTGCAGCTATATTGGCAAATCCATTGACAAATCTTCTGTAATAAGTGCGTAAACGCAGAAAAGTTCATGTTTGTCGCGAAGTTTAGGCCAATCCTTGATTGCAGCAATTTTCTTCCGATCGGTGTAAATTCCGTCTGCCGAAACTACATGACCCAAGAATTCCACTTGTCGCTGGAATAAGCTACACTTCTTCGGGTTCAAGTACAGGTGCGCATTCCTTATGCGGCCGAAGACTTCTTCTAAATTTCGCAAATGCTCCTCAAAAGTTCTTCCCATAACCAATACATCGTCGAGGTAAACCAAGCACGTTTTCCAAGTTAATCCTCTTAACACCACCTCCATGAGACGTTCGAAAGTGACTGGAGCATTACATAATCCAAACGGCATGACCTTGAATTGGTATAGTCCTTTTCCTGTAGAAAAAGCTGTCTTTTCTTTGTCTTCCTCGTCCAGACCAACTTGCCAGTATCCACTCTTTAAGTCGAGAGTGGAGAACCAGCACGAACCTGCCAGAGTTGTTAATGTGCCATCTATACGTGGCAGTGGGTAGCTATCTTTCTTAGTGACGTCATTGAGCTTCCTATAGTCCACCCAGGATCGTGTACTACCATCTTTCTTCGTCACCAAAACAACAGGAGATGACCATGGACTTGATGATTCTTCGATAACTCCATCTTCTAGCATCTTATCTACCATTGTCTCCATTTCATGTTGTTTGGAAAGGGGCACCCTTTTAGGACGTTGTCGAATCGGCTGGGCATGACCAGTATTAATCCGGTGCTTCACAAAATCCGTTCTTCCACTGTTGTTCTTTTCAAAAATACTGCCATGCTTTAACATGAACTCCTTAGCCTTCTGTTTCTCATCAGATGTTAGGTGATCCCATGGCTGCTCTAGATGTTTTAGTGTTTCTTTGGATGCCATTTGTGTAACAGCTGATGACACTTCATCACATCGGGTGACACTTCTTACAGGTTCGCAGATGGCTATCTTGTCACCTTTTTGGATCTTGACACAATTCGGGAAAACATTCGCAATTCTGATCGGTATATTTCCTACTAAGTACCTATCTTGTTTGTTGTCGCTACTTTGTACCAGTCCAACACAGCACCCAGCGATTTTCTCCACTTTACCGAATACGATCTTCTCGGTATTACCAGGTATCATCAAAGTTTCCGCTGATCTTACATCCATTCTGCCTGGTCCCTCGTCTGGAGATAACATGAACTCTTCATTTCCAATATTTAACTCTGGTGATCGAACGAAAATCCATGTTGACGAATCACATCCATGCCCTATATGAAGTCATCTTCAATATCTGCCACTAAGACGCTATGCTGAAACTTCAAATTTCCTAACTTCAGTTCGACGATAGCCTCTCCCCGTACAACGGCCATTTCCCCCGTGACTGTACGTAAACACACTCTTCTTCTCAGAGGCATCAGCTTCAATCCTTGCACTGAGTTAGCCCGCACCAACGATACCATAGCGCCAGTGTCGACTGTCATTCGGATTCTCCTACCATTGACCTTCCCGTCGATCACTAAACTGTCAGCGGTTCTTCCCAGACTCCTAATGGAAAAAATCCTGGGGGCTCTGTTCTCCCCAGTCAATACTCGCCCCTTAGTATTGACTGATTTTAGTTTTCCTGGTGCCTACGTTCTCTGGATGGTGAACGGGATCGCATTTGGACACGGCAATCCCGTTTGATGTGGCCATTCCTGCCACATCTATAGCACCTTATTTCCTGGGATCTTCTATGGTTCTCTGTCTCGGTGTTGTTGCTACTCTTGTTCACTAGTAACTCACATAGTTTTCTAAACATCTCCTCCAAATGTATGTGAGAACTTCCGGGCTGTTCCTCGACCATTACAGATCTTATCTTCGGTCTAGGGATGGCGCTAAAAGCAGCTTCGATTTCCAGCGCCCTGACCAGTGCTTCGCTGCTTGTAGAAAATCGGGATATTTGCAGCGCCCTCTGTAACTCGTTGTCCTTTAATCCACTGATAAAGCACTGAGCAGCGAGTTCCTCCCTAAATCCTTCCGGAGCTTCTGGATATGCCAGATGTACCAGCCGACGTAAGTCTGCTTCAAATTCCTGCAGACTCTCTCCGGACCTCTGCAGGCGTGTCTTGATCTGGGCCTGGTAAAGTTGACGTCGATGTTGGTCGCCATATCTTCTGTCCAGTGCAGCAACCAAAGTTTGGTATTCCTGCTGTTGGGCTGCAGGAATAGTTTGCAGGAGTTCCAGGGCAGGGCCACACAGCGCGATGACAAGTGCCGCTGCTTTCTCCTGGTCGGTCCATCCGTTGGCAGCGGCGGCTGCTTCAAACTGACGGTGGTACATCGTCCAGGTTGTTTGTCCATCGTAGGTCGGAGCCTTAAGATTCGCTGTTCCATGAACGCCAGGTGTCCTTACTTGTACCTTGGTCTTCTGTAGGTCCATCTCTAATTTTTCCATTTCCTGCTGAAGGCGATCCTCCAGATCTTCTACGACTTCTTGGAAGTAGGTCTCTTGTCTTCGTTCCAAATTTTCGATACTCTTTTGAATGCAGTCCCGCTCTTCTTGTATGTCCTGTTGCCGCTGAATTTTTAAATCTTTTCGAAATTTTTCTCAAGCCGGTCCTGTTCTTCTTGATTGTCTTGTTGTCGTTGAATTTTCAAATCTTCGAAAATTTTCTCAAGCCGGTCCTGTTCTTCTTGTTTATCTTTCTGGCGACGCACTTCTAGATTTTCTACAATTTTCTCCAACCGTTCTTGTCTAATTTCTTGATTTTCCATAAGCATTTTCTGTAGTCGGTCTTCTTCTTCTTGACGTCGTAGTTTTTCCTCTTCTTTTTCTTTACGGAGTCTTTCTTGTTCTTCTGCCTTCTCTCTTCTCATATTCTCCATAAAATCGCCCAATAATTTGCTTACTTCCTCCATTTTCTTCGCTTGCTCCCTTGTACCAACCATAAAAATACTCTAATTCTGTCTAAAAATCTTCCAGTCTACTTAATTTCTTCTTAAAATCCTCTTGAATCGCACTTTCGACACCAATTCTTACGGATTCCGTGGATCCACTATTTAAACTCACGATAAAATACTTAACGAATTTATTTGTCTCACTCTGTACACACAACTTATGCTATTTACAACACAATTTATGCAACTACTATTACTCTAACGGTATTTCTCGGTATTATCAAACTTCAGACTTCAGACTATCTTCAGACTGGTCCAACTGTCAAAGTGCGGGCCTTATATACCCCCTGGCGATGGTTTCTGGAATTTTCTAAAGAATTCTGTAATTTTCTTTTACTTTCTGTCGAATTCGCCAGGTTCCTCAATGCACGTTGCAGTTATGCAACCAGTAATACACCTTGACCTTAACAATATGTAGAATTCAAAATATTTAATCGCAAAAGAAAATCAGTTCAAAACGGAAGGATTTTAACATAACTGTGTAATGATGGCAAAATAAAAGATGGCTCCTCTACATTTAAAAATTAATTAGGTGACAAGATTTCGGAAAGTATCAAAGACCAAAATTTTTTTTTTATTCATATGTAACAATCTAGGGAATATTTTTATTTGTATATAAATAATTATTTTTTAATCATTCTACAGACTTTCGCTAATTGTGTAATATGTTTTTCAGGCACATCATAAACTGCACGCATTGGAACGAAACAGATCCCTGCAGCCAGGATGTAGCATTAATTTTGTAAATACAGCTAATATATTCAAATATATGTTTATTGTCAATAAAATGTCCTTTATTGTAAATTATTGCATCTTATTAATACTTTCAACGTAACCTATAAGTTGTGTTCTGCATAACATATCTATTATTGTTACGCATTTATTTGTTAAAATGTAAAATTTGTTTAAAAATTATACCATATAATTTTAGTGTTATAGAATATTAAATAGTATAAAAATGTTTGTAACTAAAATTTGTTTTATGTCTTCTAGTAACTTTAATAGGCATTATATAATTGCAAAACAAAATAAAAATACTGATGCTAAACGATCAGAAGTTTAACCAGTCTCATTTTTATAAAAAAAAGTAATTATTTATGTACAATATTTCGTCTACTAGTCTGCATCAAAAACAACGTTTAATATTATAACGTTTTGCAGATTGCATACAAAAAAATCTAAAATAAATATTTTACGGTTTTTAAATTTGTAAGTATTAATATTTTATTAAATATAAAATAGTTTATAAAGATCGGAGAATCAAATCTGATTTGGTTCGAACAAATCTTTGGGCCTTGTTTTGAAGTTACAAAGAGAGTAGTCAAAGGTTATTAAAAAAATCAGTTAATGCAGTATTCTTATTTTTTACAACACAAAAATAATTTTTATTATTGATAATTATTCTGGATTATATTTAAATTATATAAAATCGAGTTAAAAAAAGATCGGAGAATCAAAGCTGATTTGGTTCGAACAAATGTGAGGGCCTTGTTTTGAAGTCACAAAGAGAGTAGTCAAAGGTTATTAAAAAAATCAGTTAATGCAGTATTCTTATTTTTTACAACACAAAAATAATTTTAATTATTGATAATTATTCTGAATTATATTTAAATTATATAAAATATATTCAGAGCCATAAAATTTATAAAGACTATAACTAAAACAAAATATATGTTAACAAATAATCTTCATTTCCATTCTTTGTCGAATATATAACTTCTATATACATATACCGATTTGGTCATTTTAGAAGTGTGGTCTGGATTTTAACGTGTAAGACCGTGATGTAGGCAGCTTAATGGAAAATCAAATGTATTAAAAAGAGATAACAGTTGGGTTGATACATTTCTTCTATGCGGTATTGCCGGATTTTTCATAAAAGTTCAAACCGAACAAGTAGGCGTTTATGGAAAATGTTGCATCTAGGGTTGGAACCTTATTTTTCACAATTACTATTACAGTTGGGGGTCGGAACCTTTGGGGTTACACAGCAAAATAAAACACTAAATCACCACAATACACCAAAACACTTTTATACTTATACACTGGACGCGCGTTTCGCTAACCATGTTAGCATCATCAGCAGCTAACCATGTTAGCAAGATTCAGACTTAGTCTTAATTATCTGCTGATGATGCTTGGTTAGCGAAACGCGCGTCTAGTGTATAAGTAAAAGTGTTTTGGTGTATTGTGGTGATTTAGTGTTTTTATTTTGCTTTTCACAATTAGTTACTCATTTTACTACAGATCTAATAGATTATATTCAGCTTAGATCATTTCAGTAGTATACATGAAAGTTTTTAAAATATATAGTTTATTTTTTTTTCACAAATTTTCCCACAAACGTAAAAACCGGTAGCACTGTATGCCGCTTTTGATTTTATCTCTCTGTCTGTCAACCGGTCATTAATATTATTTTCTATCCTACACGTTAAAATCCAGACCACGCTTCTAAAATGGCCAAATCGGTATATAAAGGGTGAGTCTTAAATAAGTGCAAATATTTTTACGGGTAGTGCATTTCGACCCCAAAAACACGTCTTTGAGGGTTTTTTCGCGAAAATAGAATTGGAAAATGTGAAAATTTTTGAAACTTTGGAATTTTTTTAATTTTTAGTTAAAAAACATAATAGATATATTATAAATATGGCAACATAGGTATTAGATTAAAAGTACAAGAAAGAAAACCCAGAAAAGATCCAGTGGTTCTCAAAATTTAAGCGAAAAATCAATTCATTTTTAATTTTCAAAGCAAAATAGCTCGGTTATCTTGGACTTATTTGAAAAACGGTAAAGAAGAATTATGTTTCTTTTATCGAGATCTACCAGCCCTGATAATATTTGCACTTTTTTAAGACTCACCCTGTATAAATATAATTTTTGTCTTCTAAATAATTATTTCCCTTCTTTTACTTAGTACTAAATTTCACTGTACTAAATTATCAAAAATTACTCACGCTGTATGTTTTATGATTAGAAAATAAATTGTAAATATCTTACATTCAATTTATTAAGGTAAATAATTATTTATAGCAATTTATATATCAATATTGCATACACACATAGAATTTATTTTTTTCTCTTTGCTCAATCAGTATATTATCTACTGAGGAGTTAAATCTTTAATTTATGCAGAGTCGGTCCAACGAGTCAATTGTCAAATTGACAGTAAATAGAACTTATCTGTAACTATGGAGCAACTATGGAGTGTAACAGTACATTATACTGTATGAAAAAAAACGGCGTCTAGTTGGTTTGGAAATGACAGTAATCTTCATTTCATAGCAATCGCCGACATCGTTTTATTTTCTATCATATCATTGTATGTCGTTCAATTACTTTTCTTATCCATTTTAATACCGTATGATCGAAAAAAACGGCTGCCAGTTGGCTTGGAAATGACGATCGATGTCATTTCCCATATAGTTTTACATATAAAATGAAAGCCATCTTCATTTCATAGCCATCGCTGACGCCGTTTTTTTTCGATCATACGGTATAAATTTACACAATAGACTTAATAATTCATATTCTTTTTGTAAACTTTTTTCAAATGTAATTTTTTACAATAATAACATAATTAAAAGCCTAATATATTGTATTAATCAATTGTTTGTGTTTTAAATGTTTAGACTGCAATAAAGAATTTTGATATAACAGATGCTTTTTAATCTCCTATAAACCTCCTTATTTATTTTAAAATATTATTAATTGTAGGAACAGATTCTGATTAATAAGTATATTAGCTGTCGCGGTACTGTTAGCGAATAAGTTTTCATTTTCGCCAAATTTTTGATAAATTCTTATTGATACTCTGCAGAATTAATTTTATCGATATTTTAAAAGAAAATTTGATATTAAATTCCAAATTCTAATAGTTGTTTTCATATAGAGGGTGGCGCACTTCATTTGCCTCGACGGAAAGACGTAGAAACAAATTATTTTATGGATATGTGGGAAGACAATGTGCATAATTAAAATAAATAAAAAAGTTATATTTTTTCGTATAAAACATCCAGTATTTTATTTTATTTTTGGATCCTTTGACATAAAATAAGGCATTTATTATAAGGGTGTATAACCATTGTTTACAAGCTTTGGTTTTTGAGATATTTAAAAATATTTAAATATGCATGCATGCTATGATGAAAGATTGTCAACACCCTTTACATTATTTTTCAAAATTAATTCTACAAATAATATGCTAAACTATATTAGGGTTTCGGATCTTATACCTATCTGGTTCAGATTTTGGATAATGAGCGATTTTTCAATAAAATGACATCCAAGAGAACTGCGAGGCTCGATTCTGTAAATATATTTCCTGTATAGTGACTAGTGACTCATCAATCGGAGATATACAAATAGCATAGGCTAGACAGGAAATTTATTGCTACGGAGCTTACAGATCCCACTGCTGGTGTCGTCATGCGAAATTAGTGATTGGACTTTATTTAACTATTTAAATTTATAGCAGTTTACTTTCATATGATATACCTTAAAAGGAATCCCCATCTTGATTGCAATTTTATTGAAAAATAGTTTTTTATGCGGAATCTGGGCAGATAGGTCTGTAGATAGGTATAGGAAACCCTAATATAGTATATAAAGTATAGTAATATAGTTTGTAAAGAGCATTTAAATCTGCTTCTATTTACATAGCGGGGGTTGCATTTGAAATAACTTAGTTTTTATATAAAATAAATATTTAAAATAGATCATCAATTTTTGGTACCCCTGTATACATTTAATGAGGCAATCAAATTTTTCATTGGTCAAATTTTCATAAATCAAATTTTTTATTGAGCTACCAAACAAAGCAGAATCGGACCTATGTTGATATAAAAAAATAAATCTTATTTTTATGTGAGGAATCTCCCCACGAGAGACGGCACATGTTTTTTATAACACCCTGTATATTATATAAATATACGAAGTTTTATAATAAAAAAAGCTTACTTCTTAACAATCTGCTGAATTTACGAGAAGCTGTTGATTTTACACCCTATATAATTTATGCAAAAATAATAGAATAGTCATAATATAAAGAAAAAAGTGGTGAGATAAAAAAAAAGAGAATATTGAGGAAAATGATACAAAAAGGGAGAAAGAATCATCGGCATGTAGCCCGCAAGAAAATGATAGCCGGAGGTATTTCTGGCTTACAGCCTTGGGCAAGCTTGGCTTTCAGCCAGGTGTCACAAAAACAGTTATGATAAAGTTTTAAGTTTTAAATTGCATCCCCAATTTTTCTGTAGATAATTGGATTCAGCATAAAATTCTGCAAACTGAGATAATTGAACTGATGAAGGCCATAAGCCAAAAATACTATGTGACTGCAGTTATCACTTTCTTGTGTATTAGTTATATGTCTGCAACATAATCTGTAATAGCCAAACTATTTTTTTGTTTGTAAAAAAAACAGTTTTGCTACATTGATATTTGTAATTGATTGATAATTAATAAAATATAATTACATATTTATAAAAAATCTGCAATAGGTAATTGTTTTAAGTACCTAATTTATTGAACATAGGTAAAATAAACACTTACAATGAATTTTATCAGCTTATAACTTTATTGTATACAGTAAGAACTAATGCAATAGAAAAGTAGAATATTAAATTATTTACAGATGTAATATTTCAGAAATTAAATTTATATACCATATGATTAAATAAAACAGTGTATCAGGAATGTCATCCGTCATATGGTATTTACAAAAACATATTGCATATTGTACATCTGCAAATGAAGTTAATCTTTTAAAGTTTTTATCTGCACTTAGGTATATTATCATTTTTTATATTTTCATTGTTGTATAAGAACTGAATTTTAAGACATTCCTTCAATTAAACTGGCTCTCATCTCTGATGTAATTTTGCTAGGTTCTGCTTCATTCAACCTGAAAACAGATTCTAAGACTGCCAATTCAGTAGCTGTTGTGTCCATTCCAGTAAAAGCAATCCAATCGTTAACAATTACACCAGCACCAAGAACAGAACTACCACAATTAACTGTTCCAGCAACTAAAGGCACTTGCAGTAACGATGATAACTCTTCTTGGTCTACTATACTAGTATTAGGATGAATCAGACAGCCTCTATTATTTAACACGCAGTATGATCCAACAAGTACATTGCCAGCTATTGTATGACGAAAAACTTCTACCCCTAACGTATCAACTATTATTTCTTCAGTTTCTCTATCCAAATCTGGGTGCACTAATGCTACATAGTCATTACAAGCAATCACATTGCCTAAAGCAGACAGTCTTTCTTCAACTCTTTGAACTTTAACTGAATCTGGAAGTGCATTACGAAGATGTTGCAATTCTTGGTCAAATGTAGAATTTGGAACTAAAAGGCCTTTTTTATTGCCAACACACATTCGTCCTATTATGCGACAACCCGCTAAAGACGTATGAATTACTGGTATAGTATCTGCCAATTCAGCCTCAAATGTACTGTAAAATATTTCTGATCCTCCTATACTTGCTAAACAATAAGCGTTGGTTAATTTCCCAAAAACACCAATTTCATTTTTACTTTCAAAGTGAGTACGAACTGCCATTCTCGTTAGTGTTTATAGTACACGCGATGATACACAGAACACAGACACTAGAGCAGAAGGTGAGCAGAAGAAAGCATAAAATATCTATATCGAAGAATACTTATACTGTATAATATTCACGATACTCACAATACGATAGACATAAAATACAAAATAATCAAAATATGCTTTAATGCATGTCACAATGTCATGCAATAACTATTTTAAATAAGGTTAGAAAGAGCCATAGAACAATAATAATAACAATAAATGCCGATAAAATGACTATGACAAGATGATGACAAGGGCTGGTTTCTATAATATTTTCTATAGACTGTTCGATCGCATCAAATCATCGCCCTGCTCACGTGATGAATACGTCACTGAAAAACCTCCTTAAATCACTTTATTTCTATTAAATAAAACACAAAACATTTAAGAATTATAATTTTGAAACAAAATTATTCAGTGTAGCCGTTGAGGGTTAAATAAAAATAGTAAAAAGTTAGTACAACAGATTTTTTTTCAAATAAACGTAATGTTTTAAAATTTTGGCGCAAAAAGCAAATCTCTTTTTACCTACGTTAATCGGTTAATCTCATAGATTTAGGAAGAACAGATATCACATTGTGCATTTTAACCCGATCAAACAATTGGAGGTTGACTACGTACTGTAAAAACCAACTGAGATAGAGAAGGCGACATTGCCACATCTCAAATTTGCGCCTATCTACTTAGTTTGATTTGCAGAAAAGGTGACTTTAAAACCTTCACCGGATATCAATAAATCTCAATTTCTTAATTAAATTAATAGTTTATTTTAAAGAAGCATGCGTAATAATATGTTATTAACCAGAAGATATATACATTACTATTAAAGGACATGTTTACTGTTTAACGTGCTGAAACATCTAGAACTATTGGCAACGTCGCTGCTAGTCTTCCAGAATGAAAGTGAGCCGTCCGTCCCACCACCCCTCGCGACGGCCCTTGGTCCGTTATAGCGTACTACGTTTAGCTTACGGTGTGTTTGAAGTCGGAATCAAGTCCGAAGTGAACTTTTCAGTGTTTTTCAGTAGTTTTTGTTTTTGTTTTTGTTTAACGTACTTTTGAATCTGCGAATTTTCAATATGGTACGACAGTGTCAAGTGTGTGGAAAAATAAGCTCAAATTACCCGAATTTGTCTTTTCACAGGTAGGTACAAATTTCCGTCGTAATTGTACATAGGCGTCCCACAAGGGATATCCTTACAATTAAAATAATTTCTAATTATATTTGTTGAATTTTGATTTACTAAAACAAGAACGTAGTAGCCGGTAATTGAATTATAATTCGTCTCAATTACTACCTAACTGTTGTAGATCATAACAAATTTGAATATAAACGTTGCATTTAAAACTTTATTATAAGCCAGAAAGTGACATTTTTTTTCTTAAAATTGCGTCATATTTTGGTCATTATATACGATATTCTAAATATCGTAAATAAAGGAATTTTGCTCAACAAATAAACAAAGGTGTTTACCCGACCTTTTTTACATTTTACTGCTTTATTATATCTGCCCCTTCGGCCTTGTTTAGACAATTTTTTACCACCGTACAAATACCTCTTCCTAGAGTTATTTGTACGGTGTGTTTACCTTTTTTTTAGAATGGGACGAACTGTAAATAATTTTTAGGCTACTAGTTTTATACATACCTATATACAGAGTGACCCAGGCCTCCAAAAAAGCTTTTTACCTATGACGTTTTTGGTTTGTGATTTTTATTTCAATTTTTTACATAAGATGGGGGCCATTGTAACGCACATTTTCAAAATATTTTTGTCAACATACAGGGTGATTCAAACCGCAAAACATATGCTTAATACAGTTCATAAAGATTGAGACATTTAACTAAAATTTGATTGTCTGATGAAGCTACCTTTAAAAGTAATGGGTTTGTAAATAAACGTAATATTCATTATTATGCGACAGAAATCCCATACTGTAGCACACAGATTTGATACTTTTAATGATAAATGCCTTCTATTGAGAGACTAAAAGGTAATTGCCTCGTATCAGAGCCATCATAATACAAGAAGAAGACCGAAAGTCAAATCAGTTATTAATAATACAAGATTAAATAACTGTTACATTTTACAAGATTTCTGTTATTACAAGTTCATCTTTTTAAGTCAAAAAAAGTCAAAAGGACAAGTTATTCCAAAAAAGGACTGTCCTTTTCAAAAAAGGACAGGTGCCAACCCTAGGTATTTCTGGAATGGAAATTTAACGGCAAATCTACAACTTTAGTTTGAAAATATGTTCCGGCCACCTATGTTTACAAAAATGTCTAAAATGTGCTTTACCATTGCCTCCATATTCTGAAAAAAAAATTGAAAGAAAAGTCACCAACCACAAACCTAATATAGAACTGTTTCGGAAGCCTGAGTCACCCTGTAAGTATTCAAAAGTAACTGAGTGTTTATATAGAAGTAACTGAAAGTTTAAATTGAAAATCGACGTTGGAGCGATTTTCGAAAACTACCTACTAACGTTTCAACATAAGTATATATGGGATATTAATTATATTATTATATTAGACCTTATAGCAAAACTCATCTGACGAAAAAGTGTTAACGTAGTATATTAATATGGAGTAAAAATTTTACTAATTACTTTACATTTACTTTACTAATTAAATTCCTTCCAAAAAACGATACGCCACTGGCCATTAGAACAATCCAAATGCGCCTAGTTGCCGGGGTCGGAAATTTTAGACTTCTCTGTCTCTTCCGTCCTTGTTTGACACATTGGAATGTTTGATACACTTCCAACGAGTATTTATGAATGACATGTTCGGTCTATCTTTATAATGTCTTTGGTTAATCTATGGATAATCTCATTTTTTCTGAAATTTCAAATTTGTTCTTTGGCTGTTGAATTTTGTCAATTAACCTTTATTTGTGTCTTTATCATTTTTCGAGTAATTGTCATTTTATTTATTGATATTTTTTAAAAATATTGATGGATTATTCACCAAAATCGGATGTGTTATTTTGATAACGTAATATAGCATTACTGCAATTCAGTTAAACCAATATTTATCGTATTAATAACAGATAACTGTGGTTTTTCTCAAACTCACAACAAAGAATTTTCTAGATCCAAAATTCCAACGCACTTGTTACCGTGCTTGAATAATGATTATATATGAGTTAGCTATTCTGCTGTGATATACTGTACTAACAATGTACGCTTGGGGGAGTACAATTAATGGAGAACTAGGTCTAGGAGGCATCGAGGAAGAACATATCTTAATACCACGATCCTTAGATTGGTATATTTTAATACTCGTCACTTAATCAAGATAGAATTGTTATGCTTTATCTTAGAACCTACTTATAAAATACCCTAATTTTTTTAGGTATCTGGCTAATAAAGTAGTAGAATGTGCATTAGGTGATAACCATACATTATTTCTGACCAAAGAAGGCAAAGTATATTCTTGTGGAAATAATGATTATGGACAATTAGGCCATGATCAACCTAGAAAAAGGCCACGTATGTCTTTATTTAGTATGTAAATTTTGCTTTATGTGTAATGTGTTTTGAACAATATTACTAATATTATACATAGAAAGCATGATTTGATAATTAAAACGTAACATTTAATTATATTACATTATTTCAACTTTTTCAAATTTTATAGGAATTACTGTAATTAATATTTTCAAAAATATTTAATATTATTTCTCAAATATAACCAAGGGGAAGAGGATGACATTAATACCTTTTTTGAAATTTATTTATTATAGTACCTATAAGTATTGTCTGTGACTATTAAAATAAAGTTGATTTTATTTAGAACCTGTCACGGGTTTGGATGCATACAATATTATTCATGTGAGTTGTGGAGCAATGCATTCGGTAGCTTTAAATCAGTGGGGTCAAGTATTTTCCTGGGGTTCCGACTATCATGGGCAATTAGGTCAGCAACTTGGAGAAAATATTCTATCAACACCGAAGATAGTGAGAATGTTAGCCTCCCACCATGTCGTACAAATAGCCTGTGGAAATAGACACACTGTGGCCTTAACAAATAGTAAGTAAAAATATGGTGTTTTTATTTTAAGTAATGATTTTATGTTTGTAGGTGGAGAGATATTAGTTTGGGGAGCCAATAGTTTTGGTCAACTTGGGTTAGGATTACTTTCTCGATGTGAAACAATTCCAAAAGCAATAGAGTCTTTAAAAGGAATTCCTTTTGCTTTTATTGCATGCGGTGCAAATCATACATTTGCAGTTTCAAAATCAGGAGCTGTGTTTGGATGGGGTATGTATATATTGATATTTTTATTCTGTAAAAATTGTAATTTTGAGTTGTTTAGGTAAAAATACAAGAGGTCAACTTGGTCTAAATGATACAACAAATAAAGCTTTTCCAACTCAACTTAGAACATTAAGAAATCTAAAAGTGCGTTATATTTCATGTGGTGAAGAATTTTCAGCATTTTTAACTCTAGATGGGGGAGTTTTTACATGTGGGGCAGGAATGTATGGCCAGCTTGGTCATGGAAGTAATAGCAATGAAATTTTACCTAGACAAGTAAATATTAAATTTATAGCTAATCAAGCGGATAGAATGCTTGAACATTTTACTTAGTAAAAGTATATTTGATCTTATTTTTTTGTATACATATTAAATTAGTCTCCTAGTTTTCTATAATTGTTTTCAGGTAATAGAATTGATGGGTTCAACTATTACTCAGATTGCTTGTGGTAGGCAGCACTGTCTAGCTCTAGTACCTTCTAGGGGAAGGGTATATAGCTTTGGGATAGGTGGCTCTGGTCAGTTAGGAGTTAGAAAGACAAACAATGCTAATACACCTCAAGCAGTTCTTGGTCCATGGGTTTCACCTAGTGGCAATTGTTTAGTTCCTAGTGATAATAAAATCGGTTGTAATCTAGTCATTCATAGAATATTTGCTGGTATGTATTAAAGACATAATATACAGGGTGGTCCGAATTGTATTCCGGAAACTTCAGCAGCATATTCTGCAGATAAAAATAAAAATGCTTAGTTTCGGAGATAGGGTGTAGAAATGTCATTTTTATTTCGATTTTTTCCAAATAATTTTTGAAGTAAGGTAAATATTTGGATGAAAATTGGTGACTAGGAGTTTTTTAACATGACAAATTTGATTTTGATATCAATATGACTACTATTTGTAGGGGGCGCCACCTACATGTGTTATAACTGTTTTGAAGAGTAATAACTTTTCGTCCGTACCTGTATAAAACTACTGAGTGAAAAAATACACATTTTCGTGATTTTCTACGTAAAAAATGTTTCTTAGTAAAAATTGCTGCGAGCAACTGTTCTCAAGATATTTAGAATGGAAATAGTCAATACATGCCATTATTGACAAAAAATAAAAGTGTTGGGTAGATAAATTATTTGACTGAAATAATAAATTTTGGAACTTTTTATTTTTTTTAATTAATCATAAAAGTAGTTTTCTTCGAAAAAATGATAAAACAGTTGAACTTTTGGCACAAAAACATTTCAAATTTATGATATCAGTCTAATAATTATTTAGTCAACATTGGTCAACATGTTTAATTTATGTCAATGATGACAGGTATTGATAATTTCGATTCAAAATATCTCGGGAACCATTATTGATATCAAAATGAAATTTCTCATGTCAAAAAACTCCTAGACATCAATTTTGATCCAAATATTGACGTTAGTTCAAAAAATATTTGGAAAAAATAAAAATAAAAATGAAACTTCTACACCCTGTATCTCCGAAACTAAGCATTTTCGGACATACATTTATACAAACTTTTTTACTTATTATGTGCAAAATATGTTGCTGAAGTTTTCGGAATACAGTTCAGACCACCTTGTATATATCTCTCCAAAAAAATCCTTTATGGGTATTGCAAGAAAATCTACAAAATAAAATAGTTATTTTTTGTAAACACTTCTGCGTTAAACCTAAACGGACACTGCTTATCAGAAGTTATGTTTACAGTTATACAAATTTGCCTAACAAAGAAAAAAATGCTTAACGTTTCGGAAAGTTTATCTCTTTCCGTCGTCGGAAGCAAAGAATAAAGACTGACAAGCAGTGTCCGTTTAGGTTTAACACAGAAGTGTTTACAAAAAATAACTATTTCATTTTGTAGATTTTCTTGCAGTGCAGTGGCGAAATACCCATAAGGGATTTTTTTGGAGAGATGAATCCGCCACATAGGTATAGACATTTTTTATAATATATATACTGTGATAAATAATTCAATGAATAAGACAGCATTACTGCTATTTATTTATATTTTCATTGGACCTTTCAACTTACCTATTGATGTCCATGGTTTAATGCCATATTAAGGTATTACAGGGTGTACCAAAAAGATTACTATAGGAATTTTTATTATTGAGTTATTGGCTGCATTCAGCAGACTGAATCTGATTGGTAATCGGTCATTTACGATTAGTAATGGTTTTGTCGCGATTTGTAATTTTTCTGATTGCCTTTCATTAAATTCTACGATTAACGGGAGAGGGCGCTAGTTTTTATTCAAATTTTGACATGGTTTTTGACTTTTTTATATTCATTTATTTATTCATTTTCGTTTATAGCGTTTGTGTATTTAATAAATAATATTTATTTTTTTTACTTTAATTTTTACACTAATAATAATTTTGTTTACAAATTTATAAATAACTACCAAATAAATAATAACAAATGCATCAACAGTATTTTCTTCTGTAAATAATCTTGCATGTCATTCAGAGATTGTCATATTGTTAACATTTTTTATACAAAAAACTCGGTAATCGCTAATCACAAATCGCTCTTTGGGACCGATTGTTGAAACTCTAATCTTGAACTAATCGAAGACGTCTGCTGAATGCAGCCATTGAAAAATCTATGGCATCAAATTACAAAAATCTGTTTCACATATGCAAAAAAGCGACTTTAAGTGACAAAATATTGAAAAAGTCAAGGATAAAAGTTGTTTAGAATTTAATTTCACATATATTATGTTTCATGCAAGTTTCATAATATACATGGACTTTCAAAAAAATATATACCGGGTGCGTCTCAAAAGTGGCTCACCCCTATAACTTTTCTTATTTTTTCAGATAAAAAACGAGATTTGGTATGTTAGTATATGACGTAAATTAGGATTGATTGACGTATTCAGTTGTTTTTGGTCACTTCCTGTTTAACCGGAAATTACTACAACTTTTGATTTTTAAATGGCACCCTCAGTATTTTTTTACTTTATTCAATAGAAAATGGCATTCTGAATAGAATGATATATCATATGTCACCTTTTGACATTTTCGCTTTAAAAAAAATCGTGTTTTAAATTTCAATCTAGAGTGCCATGGCTATGTTAAAAACATTAGTTTTTAATCAAGGAGCCTTGGAAAAATAAGTTAATCATCTAATGTTTTTAGTGTCGTCCTGGCCAGTTAAAAGATGCCCAAATCGTATTTTTAATCATATCTCAATTTTTTCAAATGGAACGAGGGTGGTTCATTAGCATATTTGGAAAAATAATTTTTTTACGTATAATTTGATACCACACGCTTGGTATTTCGAGTCAAATTTTCGTTATGAACCGCATGTTATAATTTCAAATAACCATATGCGAAAATGTTAAAAGTTGAGATATGATATGTCATTCTATTCAGAGTATCATTTTCAATCGAATAAAATAGTAATATACCGAGGGTGCCATTTAAAAATCAAAAGTTGTAGTGATTTCCGGTGAAACAGGAAGTGACCGTCATATACCAACATACCAAATCTCGTTTTTTTAACCAAAAAATAAAAAAGTTATAGGGTTATATAAAGTTATATAACTAAAGATAATTTTTGTGTAGAATTATTTTATTTAATTTTAGCCTCCCGCAGTAATTTTTAAAAAACTAAATGTTGATCCTGTTTTGTTGTAAAGGTCTATATAAAAAAAAATTTAACTACCACATTCAGAATAGATGATACAGTTTCTAAATGATCTGATACTCAAATTCTACAGTATATCCCCAGATTGTCTGTAAAAGAGGATTTTTTTATTGACATTTTAAGGAAAATGCGTTCTTCATAAAAATTTTTGCTTGTTCTAAAATGGTTTAATCCCCTTTTCCAAATTTCCATACCGTTTTAGAGAAAAAAACATGAAAATATGGTTGAATTTTAAGTTCTAAAAATGAAGAGGTTATGGAATATTAATTCGATTTCATTCTTTGATAGATGGTTATTATTAACTTTGATTAATGTCATATTTTTTGCTGTTGTTAAAGTATCACTTTTGTCGATAACTGTTATCACCCTAGAGGTTGAAAGTGTAATAGCAAAAGCGGTTTCACTGTTTCCACGGAAACTTCAAATAAAATAATTCCAGCCCGCTCGCTAGATGGGAGTGCAATTAATTTTTAGGTTAGGGAGTTGCTTCTCATTATTGTCAGATGGCGTTAAATCATAATTCTTTTGTCGTTTCCGTAGGCATAACTCCAATTATATTATCAAATCGATTTTCAAAGTATAATTTTGATTACTTGTATTTTAACTAGAAAATTTTTCATATGTGGCTCTAAAATATAATGTAAGTCGTTATTTTTCCATCATTTAAGTACCTATTTATATTTATTTATTTCGTTTTCAAAACTTGGGCGCATTACGTTGGTTTTGTTTTATTATAATAAATATATTTTTTGTATGTATAAATTTGATTTTAAATCTTTTTTTTACACAACACAAAATAAAAAATAATGCTTCGAATTAGAATTGTTAATACTGGCTTAAAGATAAGTTGTAATAGCGTTTTTTCGTATTTAAAATGATAGTTTAGTTAACCCTCTCACAATAGATGGCTCTGACTTGGAACCATTTTTCAGTAAAGCAGTTTCCGTTGTTTTTCTTGGTAACAGTAAAAAATATGAAGTTAATTAAAATTCTTTCCAGTTTTTAGTACCATATACGAGTTGGTCTACAAACATTGTTGGTGGCTAATACAACTCTCTGGGTACCGATTATAAACTGTGCTCTGGGTCTACATTTAAATTTCCCTCGATTTCCCTCGAAACATAAAACACACGTAATAACACGAACCAAAATGCAAAAGCAATTCGCAAATATTTATGTTTATGTCAAGTAACCTCTGTAGGTTACTTGACATAATCTACATATATAAAATGCTAATATTTATCTGTGTCGTCTTTACTGAAGTAACGACTTGCTCTAGAAAGTTGCTTTTTTTTACTAAAAGATAGGTAATTGGCTCTTCTAAAAATTGTCGTCGCCGGAATTTTTGTTTTTCATTTCGTCGGCTTTATGACGAAAAGGCGTATCTCGATTTTTGGCGATTTTGAGATATCAACGTCATGACATGCCCAATGGGTCATATTTTAACATAGCGAATTTGCGCATCTCAATATTGTACTTTTTTCATTTTATGTTAGTTTAAAAATGTGCCCCATCTCAAATACTACAATTCTTTGTTATGACGAAGAGACGTATGTTGAGATAGGGCTCTTTGTTATATCAATTATTGTTATACCATTTGTTATACTACCAGAAAGATGGAATTTGAGATAGGTCCTTTTGTTTTAAGTTATGAAAATGCATGCGAGAGAAAATCACACCATTCTACCTAATTATTTTCTGACGGCTGCTTGGGACAAAATAAAACTTCTATCATGGCAGCAGCTCTCTTTTACAGTGTGATTTTAGAGTCTATTTTTTGCCAAAAACCATTGTTAGAATGAGCTAGACTCTGCACATAGCTGTATCGGGCATGCAAAAGATTGTCCGAGAATAAATGGCCGAATAAAAGGAAAATTTTGATCGAAAGCAAAACAACGAAACGAAAATTGCCCTAATGGAAAATTTCCCGAAATCATAATTTCTCTAAGAACATTTTAGCGAACCAAAAACTTGCCCGAAAATGCAATAATTTTCATCTCATTATCATTGTCAGGCCATTGGCATTGTCATCCCTACCAATTTTTGGAAAATTTTATTTATTTTGCATTTAATTTATCATCATCCAGCATAAACACGTAGATTGGAAGTCGAATTTGTTATCATTGAACAGGGAAAACAGAAACTGTTACTCCACAATTATTTGTATAAAAAAAACGAATGAAGAAACATATTTTGTTTTTGTTTAGTTTGGTTTTTATTATATGGACCGGGAGTTTAAATGCCCTGTATTAATGCCCTCAATTAACTAAAAAATTACTAAAAATATATTAGTTAAAAAATGCATTTTTGTATAAAAAACAATATTATTAAAATAAGCTAGATAAAAGTATTTTAATTGATTATTGTCTTTGCTTCTGACATGAAAAATGTCTTTGTTTTCAGTTGATCTTATCCAACGCGAATAAAAGTATTTAAAAATATTTGTTTCTGATTTTTTGGCGATTTTCAGATTTTTTATTGAATGTATTCCATAATGTGAATATTGTATCATTTTTTTTTCTTATTAAGAACACTTTACCGTCATTTTTAAATTTATTTTACATGGGCGTATGTATACTATTCCTTCGGGAATAAATTTATTATTATTATAACAAAAAGGCCTATTAAACAACTAAAAATAAATTATTTATTAGAATTTACGCTCAATTTATCTTCAGAACGTTTCTTCAATGTCTCCTCAAAAAAGTGTTAATACAAAAACACTATTAAAAAATTAAAGACTTTACATTTATTGGCCAAATAAAGTAAGTGGTTTTCTTTAAATTGCTCTCCTGAAAAGTAGCAAAAATCGAGATACGCCTTTTCGTCGTAAAGCCGACGATTTAATTAAAAAAAAAGTTAATATCGTGGCGGATGCGCCAGGCTTCAACTAGTTTGATATAACTTGTTTCGGTTTAATACTTTTTTTGAAAGAATATGTTTTTAACACATATTATGTTATTTTTTTTTGTGACATCAGACATGCTGAAGAAATTCCGAATAATTTTTTAAAGAACTCAACAATTGAAATATCCATTTAGTATAAAAATTTGACACACGGGGTATATTTAATTGTTGTTAATTTTGCATGTTGAATATTTTTATTTAAAACCTGTTCAACGAAAGGTTCTCTGACAGTGGCAGTTATCCCTCATTTTATAGCCCCGTTCTCAGAACGACGTTCTGTCGCTGGTGACAGTAGTTGGCACTTTAAAGAACGAATAGAAGTTGTTTAAATTTAAAATTGACAGCTGTTTGAATTTTGTACCAATCTCATTGGTTCTTTTGACATGTCGATACTACGAAGCTCTGAGAACGGGCATTCTTTTCTAATTCACAAGCAAATTGTATTTTCGGTCGATTTTTGAATGTCACCTTTTGAAATCTTCCCTGACCTGTTGGACAGATTTAATAAATGTAACAAAAATTTTACTTGTGCAGCTAATGATTAATAAGTTTTAAGAGCTCTTTTTTTTCTGAAACACTGTTTAACACTGTGTTTAAAAGTTCTGTTTTGTATTTAATACATTTTATTTATATTCTAGGTGGGGATCATTGTTATGTATCTGTAGTTCCACAAGATAAAAAAATTCCAAATTATGATTGTAGAGAGTATAGCCCAGACACTCAAATTCTTTCTATACAGAATAGTTTTGTTAAAACTTTGTTAAAAATTCCAAGTAAACAACCAGTGGATCAAGATGTCTTGAGCATTTTAGAGACAGCCTTTAAAAGTTTAGCTTGTTTGAATGCTTCTTTCTTACTGGAAGATGAAAAACATTATTATTGCACTAGTAAACATCATGGTGTGGACATAAAATGTGCTGAAGATACTTATGATTTAATTGGAAAAATTGAACATGAAAGCATTCAAAGTTTGGTAAGTAATTATTTTATTGCCCTTCATAATGATTGACTGAAATCGCCATTCATTATTAAGTATACATATTATATAGTGATGGGATATATCAAATTAAAAATAATTCATAATTCGATTATGAAAATAATTGTCATCATCCGATTATCGAAAAATAATTCAATTTTTTTTTAATGAAAGATAAAAAATATATAATCGCATAGTTTGCGATGACTCACCAATACGAGTAGGTAGTCGATGTTTCGGCGGGATTGTTCGGTAATCTCTTTATCGTTATCGAGAAACTAATAGAGACTGAGAGAGAGAGAGAGAGAGACAAACAACTAGTGATGGGAAAAACCGATTAATTTCAATAATCGAGTACTCCAGTTTCAAGCGATTGCAATAATCGAGCGATCGCTCGTATTTAAAAATACGGTTTTTCGACCGTGGCTTGTTGTACGTACTTGTTAACGCCAAGCGCCAAGCAGTAAGTTGGGTGCGCAGGGCACATATTCTTTCGTTGACGAATGGCAAGTAGCAAGCGATTCGCTTGATCGCTTGATTTAGTTTATTTCAAAGCATTGTCGAGGTAGGTCTTAAAATTTTGCCCCTTAGATACGCAACGGATAACGTCGTATAAATTTGCTACCTGCAATGTATGTAGAAAATTCGCTTGGCTTTTTATCGAGTATGTCACATTAAAATCGGATTTCAATTTATTTCATTCTAGGATCGCTTGCGTTCGTCGCTCGTAACTCGTCACTTGCATCGTTCGTTCATAATCGAGCGATGTCGGTTATTTTTGAATAATCGAGTACTCGAGCGAATTTTGGCTTGAGTTATCCCATCACTACAAACAACAAACAACCCGATTCGCTATTAATAATTTGAGTGTTTGTTGAACCTGTTTTAATTTAATTTAACTACAGAGGTTATGACGACAGAAGCTTCTACGTCCCACTAGACAACTCGCATACCCAACAGTGTTGCCGTTTGCTGTCACCTTATTTTATGAACGGTTTTAAGAACGGCGGAAAGTAACGCCTAGCTATAGCCAGTTTTGCAAGATCAGCTGTGTCCCAGAGAGGTCCCAGGATCGTATCCCAACCCAAACCAAAACTTTTTTATTTTTACAGCTGTTTTTATTTTGTTATTTATTTACAGTAGTGGGGCAAAACCGTTATTTTTAAATAACAGTTGAAACTGTTACTGTTATTTATATCTTAAAATAACAGGTTTCTGTTATTTTTTGACTTTAATGTTAAACACCTAAAATATCATACGCATTGTCCAAATTGTAGTAAAATCATAAAAATCTTCATATTTATTTCTTAATAAAAAATAATGTACTTAAAATATGAAATTTATAAGCAAATTAAACTCTGTTTTAATTTTTAGAATATGTTTATTATATTATTAATAATTAGGAAAATAATTATTAACAAAAAATGAATATTACTAATTAAAAAAAATAATGAGCGTAATATACACTTAATATTTCTAATCACCGAAGTTCTAATTCATTTAATAACTAAATTTCTAATCATCATTCACAATTTCTTGATATCATTATTGGTGACAGGCAAGTAAAATTGTTTTTGAAATGTTTTAAAACGTAGCAAAAACAATGAAAGTGCATATTTAAAAATATTAAGAAAAATAACTAAGTTACTGAAACATAATAACTAAGTTCTGAAACCTCGACTGAAACTTACAAAACAAAAACTTTAAAATGTAAATAAATATATAAAAATAAATTTGCAGAAAGCAAAATAGTAAAATAAACTTGCTCAAAACGATTCTAATAACATAAGCTTAATCAAGACAATTTTCTTTAATTCAGTTATAATTAATAATTATTTTTATTTACCATGCATAATTAGGGCCAAAAAATACCCAGAAATCCGACAAAATAAAACCACTTTCAAACTATTTTACGCAAAAAAATATGTATTAAAAATTAAATAATTGAATTCTAACGCCACCGTACACCGCGATCGGCCCACACAGGCGAAAAAGCTATTGTTTTCCAACTCTGCTTATCTCGACAGCCGCGCCGCCCCTTATGCTCGTAACAGGTTAAAAAACAATGTATCTAAAACAACTGCTTATTTTCTATACGTTATTCTCCAACCTGTTGCGGGCCCAACATCGACAATCGACCGATGCAACAGCGTTGCTTTCCCACTTCGGTTATCTCTACCGCCAGGCGTTATGCCCACAACTATTGTCGGTAATAGCAATAATTGATTGAGTTGGTTAGTCTCTGGGGTAAGTTTTTTTTTGTTTAGATTGCACGCAAGATACCCGTCTGATTATCGTTTATGCGCGTACAGAACTGCGAAATTAAGGGACAACAAACGGCAACGTTGACTATGCGAGGTGCCTATAGTGAAGGTGCCTATAAAGCTAGTCGAATTTCGAATGAGAACTGAGTGATGAATTATGGGTGACGACCTTGCGACGTTGCAAGTGCACTCTTGAGAAGTGATATGTATGAGTATTGGTAATATGAGTGATTTATAATTTGAATTATAATCCGATTATTAAAATAACTCATAACCTGATAGTTCGATTATTGAAATAATACGATTTTTCCTATAACTAATATTATATGTATTTTCCCCCAAAAAACACTACCTATGTATTTTACCAGTCTACTGCAGAGGCCCAAAAAAAAGCTTCACAAATTTCAAGGCAATTGCCACGATTTTACTCGTGTTGGGCGCTGAAGAATAGTTGATCAACAACGAGTTAACTCGTGCTTGGCAGCCAACGTGATAATATCTGTTTGGTTATTGATTTTCTGCATGTTCAAGCAGATTATACCCAGTTAAGTTCAAAATTATTGATAAAATCAGTTTTGAACTCTAAAATATTTAAAATGCTGCAATACTAGGCTATTCAATGAGAGAATATTATAATTTCGACACGTGATCATCCAAAGAATGACAGAATATAGAACAAGGGTAATCTTAAACTTTGTATTTTTTATTTATTAGAAAATCAGTACGTATGTAGTGTAATCATGTTACTTTTAAAATCAGCAATTGTCGGAATCATGTCCCCTACGATTATAGTTTTATGAATATTTTATAGATGTTTAAAAGTTCTTTTGAATTTTAACATGAAATATTACAATCTTCTAAACATTTTTAAATTTGTTAATTGTTTGTTTATTTTTTATATTGTTTTGTATATGTTTATTTACATTACTTTTTAAAGAAAATGCTTTAGATTAAGAACACTTTAGAAATAAAACGGTGGATGTTTCAAGTGCAATAGAATTACAAAGAAAAATTTTCTAAAGAAATATATACAGGGTGAGTCTTAAATAAGTGCAAATAATTTTAGGGGTAGTATATTTCGACCCCAGGAACACGTTACTCAGTTTTTTTTTTCAAAAACTTGGAACGAGAACATTTGGATTTTTTTTAAATTTTTAGTTAAAAAACATAATATCGGCAATCTATTTCAAAAATTAAATATTTTCAATGTCATATAATATTGGCCGTAGCTGTCATAGAATTGATGGATTAAAAAATTATCATAAATAATTTTGTTCAAAATGGAACACCAGTTTTTTATTTCACTAGTGAAAAGATTTTTCAATTCATTAGTTTTTGAGTATACATGTTTTTATACCCAAAATAAATCGTTTTTAAGTTGTTTAAGATTTAGTTTTAAAGCGTATTTTTTTCTTCGTTTTATCTAGCTTCGTTTGACATTAAAAACCATCAGACAATTTATTTCCTTCTGTCAAAAAACTAATTATTTGAATTTCGTATATTATAAATACTGCTGCTAAAACTTTGTAAAGTTAGCAGCAGTATTTATAATATTTATTATTATTAATAAGTAATATTTATTATTTATTAAGTTAGCTTTAAGCAGTTTAGCATTTATAAAAATACATCTCGTATTTTAGTGATATTTAATGGCAAAATGACAGCCAGATATAATTTTACATCGCTTGGCGTTTAAAGTCATAGGCTACTAATAAAAAACCAGAAAATACACGCTTTAAAACTAAATCTTAAATAACTTAAAAACTATTTATTTTAGGTATAGGAACATGTATAATCAAAAAATAACAACTGGGACACCCTGTATAGGGTGGTGACCCAAAATCAAAATATTAACAATTTATTTTAAAAACGGTTTGCACTAGAAAATTGAAATGTGGTGTGTGCATGGCTGTAATAAAATTGCTTTATCCACTTGCAATATTGTACTATATTTTATTTCCTATGAGTTAAGTTAAAATATTTTTTCTAGCGTATAGCAGTGAATTTAGAAACTGTTTCTATCTGTACACATATTTTTTACATTGATCAGTTTGCAAAGAAAACAAAAAATCAATATTATTCAATATTAATTAGTACTAGCATAAAAAAATCTCCAAAATTACATAATTCTTTTAGATATGGACAGGCATAACAGAAAGTGTATTAAATCAACTCACTTCAAATCCACCTGATGTAGAAACGCTTAGGATATATCTTACGCTGCCTTTATACCACGAATTTAACAACCCCAAACAATACAATAAATTGCAAAAGCCTTTTGCAAGTTCAATGCTTGGTCTCAAACAGCCAGCTAATAAAGTAGTGGCATCCTGGTGGGGTATGATGGCAGCAGAATATTTTGAAAGATTAGTTAATATATTTAAAAATATAGCTAGTTTTATTTTAAGAAACCAGAGAATTCCAGAAGGAAGGGTAATAGTTACATAATTATGAATATCTAGTTCTATAATGCTTATTTCCAGACAGCATTTTATGATGCCGCCCTAGTTGCTATGTTGGACATTATGGCGTTACTAAATAAACTTAATCATAATGTTGATGGTTTAAAGGTTCCATTTGACATATTTCATATAAACGATTTGCACGACTATCTAGATGTTCGGATAGATTATGTGTTGTGGCTGTCAGACAAAGATGTAAGTAAAGTTTATCTCATCAAACTTGTCCTATTCTCTGTTATTTTTTGTTCAGCCATCGTTCAACGTTACGTCATATACAGGGTTGTTCACCACATACGACACGGAGTATTGTAGCTAAATGATCACATTTTTACAAATTGTAAATTTTGGGTTCGTTGAAGGACTATTAGAGCTACGATTTAAAAATAATTTTACAAGATACAGAGTGTCCCAAATAAGTAAAAAATATTATAGTTGTATTTAAAAAAAAAAAAATAAAAATGGAACACCCTGTATATTATTTTATTTTTAGATTCTACGGTTGAAATAAAGGTAAATTTGATTAAGGTTTATCAACCTTACCGTTTTTGAAATACGTATTCTCAGTTGTGTGAAATTGCAGTAAAAAAATTAAGGCTTCATTTCTCCAAGGGTATTAAAGGTTTTAATACTAAATATTTACTGATGATTATTTATTGATCAGATATTGTGTTGCAATAATAAAAAGTATACTACCTTATACTGAGTGTCCAAAAATGTATATTAAATAATTACTAGCTTTAAACGGCAATAACTTGTTTAATTTAAATGGAACACCCTGTATCTTTTACGTGAATCAGATACACAATTTAATTGTCTGTCAAATTGTATTATACCATTGTTTACCAATCTCTTCAAGTTTTCGTAGAGAATTCATTTTCTTATAATTTAGACCTCATTTATCATCACTATATCCATGGAATATTGGCATTTTAGATTTTTTTAAAGCAACATATGTACAAAATGCACAGGTGGTAAAAATAATAATATTGCAAGCCCATTTGTTTACAAAAAGAAAACTATTTAAATCTCTGTAAAAGAGTATACCAATTATTACTAATTATTAATATACCACCATTATTTTCGCCCAAAAATTAGTTAATTACATAGAATGAATGGGGGGGGGGGTAATCACTGCGACCTTACAGATCTATTACATACATTACGTTATGAAAATGAACGTCTCTGTTATAAATAAGCATTTTTTCAAAAAATGAAATTAAATTTATAAGGTGTTACTTTTTACCACACTGTCTAATACACATACAAAATTCAGTTTTTTATTTGTAGTATTTGGAGCAATTATTATTAATCAACGTAAACGATCACTTATTAATGTAGTTCGAATACTGGGATCATATTAATTGGTCCTCTTGAACAAAAAATATTTAAACAATTTTTTACCTTTTAATGAAACAATCGAACTATACGACAATATTAGTAGGTATCTGTAATTTTTGGAAAATTTGTTACATTTTAAAAAAATTAAATGTCCAAAAATTAATAAATTTTTGGACACTCTGTATAAGGTAGTATAATTTTTATTATTGCAACACAATATCTGATCAATAAGTAATCTTCAGTACATATTTAGTATTAAAACCTTTAAACCCTTGGAGAAACGAAGCCTTAAAAACGGTCAGGTTTACGTTTGATTAATCTTAATAAAATTTACCTTTATTTCAATTGTAGAATCTAAAAATAGAATAATATACAGGGTGTTCCGTTTGAAAAAATACAACTATAATATTTTTTACTTATTTGGGACACTCTGTATCTTGTAAAATTATTTTTAAATTGTAGCTCCAATAGTTCTTCAACGAACCCAAAACTTACAATTTGTAAAAATCTAATCGTTTAGCCACAATACTCCGTGTCGTATGTGGTGAACAACCCTGTATTGTCGAGCTCTCTCTTTTACTTGATAACCAGATGAAACAGATTGGTGGCGTCATTACGGAATTTCCTAAATTACTGCACATTGTTTTTAGTAATTGCCATTGTCATTGAACTTCTGAAGTAGCAAAATGTATTTTATTGTATAGAATCTCAAGTTTTTTTTCATAAGTTTAATTTTAAAATAGGTACGACCAAAGAATATTATAGTTTTAAGAAATCTCGTGTGGAAGCTTTAGTGATTTGTCACACGGTGGCGCTTTTGAACATAATCGAAACCTGAAAATGCTAATATTTTAAATTTTGAGAACTACGCGCGGCGATATTTCGTACGGTGTTGCCAAAACATATTTTATTTCTCGATATTTAAAGAAATATGTATTGATTATATATTTCGTATTCGTTAGTACATGAGGCATCCTAAGGCTATAAAAACGTAGCTATGAAAATAAAATTTTAGATTTTTAATTTTTTTGTACCTTCTAATAAAAATTATTTCTATTCCAATAAAAAATTAACTAGTATGATTATGTGATATCTGTGCTAGTATTAGGAAACTGGAGTAAATACGGAGAATATTAATTCGTTCTCTAAGATGAGTAGGTACTACTAAGTAATTTTTTTAAATTCGACCCATAAGGGGTTGTAATTAGATAAAGGGGTGTAATTATACAAAAAAAAAAATCTGTACCTACTAGGAGTATGAACTTTTGCACAGATGTGGCGCATTTGAACATTGATAAGCGATTTTTGGAAATGTATAGCCTAAGGGTAGTGAAACTGGGGGGTGAAATTTTGTACAAAAAATGTTACTTCTAGGAGTATGAAATTTTGTACAGAGTTTCCTTAAGTGACGAAAGTAAGTATCCAGAAGCTAATTTTTGACATTCATCCCCTAGAAATAAGGGATGAAAATTTGTACAAAAGTTTGTTACAATCGGTTTTAGAAATATGAAATTCTGCACAGACGTTCCTTATGTAACGTAATTTAGCACTAAGTAGCACTTTTTGGAAATTCGCCCTCTCAGGGTGTGAAATGAGGGTGAACGTTCTGAAACAATTCTGTTGAAGGAATATGAAAATTTGCACAGAGGTTCCTTATGTAGCGTAATTGAATAATTAGAGTGATTTTTGGAATTCATTCCTTAAGGGGGTAAAACTAGGGGTAAAAATTTGTATAATTTTTTATGTAAAATCCGTTCTAGAACTAGGAGTATGAAATTCTGTTCAGAGGTCCCTAAAATGATTAAAGTGAGTACCTAGAAGCGAATTTTAGGCATGCATCCCCTAAAAAATAAGGGATGAAAACTTGTACAAAAATTTGTTAAAATCGGTTTTAGAAGTACGAATTTTGCAGACGTTCCTTATGTAACGTAATTTAGCACTAAGAAGCAATTTTTGGAAATTCGCCCTCTAAGGGTGTGAAATGAGGGGTGAACGTTCTGAAACAATTCTGTTGAAGGAATATGAAAATTTGCACAGAGGTTTATTATGTAGCGTAATTGAATAATTAGAGCGATTTTTGGAGTTCATTCCTTAAGGGGATAAAACTAAGGGTAAAAATTTGTATAATTTTTATGTAAAATCCATTCTAGGACTAGGAATATGCAATTTTGTACAGGTCCCTTAAGTGATGAAAGTGAGTACCCAGAAGAAAATTTTGGACATGCACCCCCTAAAAAATAAGCACTCCCTATAAAACAATTAAAATAAAAAAAATTGTCTAAAAAATAAAAAAAAAGTTGGGGTGGACCACTCTTATCACTTATGGGTATAAAAAATAGATAACCTGGGAATAGGTTGTGACCAAACCAAACCAAACCAGACCTACTGAATATACATATAAAATTTTATCAAAATCGGTCTAGCCGTTTCGGAGATGGTAACAAAAAAATTTAAAAAAAACAACCCCTATTAAAAAATAGGGGATGATGATGGAACGGTGAAAATTTAGGGTTATTTGTATTTTTTAATGCCAACTAAAAAAAATTAAAATATTTTTTCTTCAAAAAATAAAAAAAATGGGGGTGGGCTACCCTTATCACTTAAGGGTATAAAAAATAGATAACAAACTATTTTCAGACCTACTCAATATACATAATAAAACGTCATCAAAATCGGCCAAGCCGTTTCGGAGATGGTAACAAAAAAACAACCCCTATTAGAAAATAGGGGATGATGGTAGAACGGTGAAAATTTAGAGTTGTTTGTATTTTTAAGGCCAAATAAAAAAAAATATCTTTTTTCAAAAATAAAAAAATGAGGTTGGGCTACCCCCTCGGCTACCCTTATCACTATAAGGGTATAAGAATAGATAACAACCTATTCTGAGACGTACTGAATATACATATAAAATTTTATCAAAATCGGTCAAGCCGTTTCGGAGATGGTAACAAAAAACTTAAAAAACAACCCCTACTAAAAATAGGGGATGATGGTAGAGCGGTGAAAATTTAGAGTTGTTTGTATTTTTTAATGCCAAATAAAAAAAATTAATTTTTTTTTTCAAAAATAAAAAAATGGGGGTGAGCTACCCTTATCACTTAAGGGTATAAAAAATAGATAACAAACTATTTTCAGACCTACTCAATATACATAAAACGTCATCAAAATCGGCTAAGCCGTTTCGGAGATGGTAACAAGAAAACAACCCCTATTAGAAAATAGGGGATGATGGTAGAACGGTGAAAATTTAGAGTTGTTTGTATTTTTTAAGGCCAAATAAAAAAATATTTTTTTTTTCCAAAAATAAAAAAATTAGGGTGGGCTACCCTCTCGGCTACCCTTATCACTTAAGGGTATAAGAATATATAACAACCTATTCTTAGACGTACTGAATATACATATAAAATTTTATTAAAATCGGTTAAGCCGTTTCGGAGATGGTAACAAAAAACTTAAAAAAACAACCCCTATTAAAAAAAATGATGGTAGAACGGTGAAAATTTAGGGTTGTTTGCAATTTTTAAAGCTAAATAAAAAAAATTACAATATTTTTTTTTTCAAAAAATAAAAAAAATGGGGGTGGGCTACCCTTATCACTTAAGGGTATAAAAATAGATAACAACGTATTCTCAGACCTACTGAATATACATATAAAATTTCATCAAAATCGATCAAGCCGTTTCGGACATGGTAACAAAACATTAAAAAAAACATCCCCTATTAAAAAATAGGGGATGATGGTAGAACGGTGAAAATTTAGGGTTGTTTGTATTTTTAATGCCAAATAAAAAAAATTAAAATATTTTTTTTTCAAAAAATAAAAAGATGGGGGTGGGCTACCCTTATCACTTAAGGGTATAAAAAATATATAACAGCCTATTTTCAGATCTACTCAATATACATATAAAATTTCATCAAAATCGGCCAAGCCGTTTCGGAGATGGCAACAAAAAAAAATAAAAACAACCCCTATTAAAAATAGGGGATGATAGCAGAACGGTGAAAATTTAGGGTTGTTTGTATTTCTTAATGCCAAATAAAAAATAAAAACATTTTTTTCTTTTCAAAAAATAAAAAATGAGGGTGGGCTACCCTCTCGGCTACCCTTATCAGTTAAGGGTATAAAAATAGATAACAACCTATTCTTAGACGTACTGAATATACATATAAAATTTTATCAAAATCGGTTAAGCCGTTTCGGAGATAGTAACAAAAAATTAAAAAAACAACCCCTATTAAAAAATAGGGGATGAAGGTAGAGCGGTGAAAATTTAGTGTTGTTTGTATTTTTTAATGCCAAATAAAAAAAAATATTTTTTTTTTCACAAAATAAAAAAATTGGGGTGGACTACCCTTATCACTTAAGGGTATGAAAAATATACGTATAACTACCTATTCTCAGACCTACTTAATATACATATAAAATTTCATCAAAATCGGTTAAGCCGTTTCGGAGGAGTACGGTAACCAAAACCACCCAAAACTGTAACACGGGAATTATATAGATAATATTATATGAAAACTGCGGAGTGCGGAGAGCGGAGAGCGGAAAGACTGATTATAGCAATAGATGAAATTTAAAACTATAATTTAAAACTATTCAAGAAAGTACACACAAAACAAGGCAACGCCGCGCGTCTATTCGTTCAATTCCGAGCAAAATAGCGAGGCCCCACGAAGTTGGGGCCTCGCTCGCCAAAGCGAGGCCCCATCGACAGGTCAGATTTTGATGCGAGACGAGACTTCTAGGGTATTAAGATATTCTTTGGTACGACTTACCTGGAAAAAACTGGTATATGCGCCTAATATTATATAGGGTGATTCCTGTAAGTGGGTCATTCTTTCATCAGGTCATTCTTTCGGGGAATGATAAATTTTCGGCGAAATATTAATTTTGATATAGCACACTATGGGTCGAAAATGCCTCTTACTTAAGATACAGGGTGTTAAAGTTTTTGAAAAATTAAAGATATTCTTTAATAATGTTTTAACAGTTGAAGGTATCATTATCAAATTTTATTATAGGAGTCTACCTAACAGAGGCACTGTAGACGTAAAAAGAAGAGGTTTTAGTTTCAACCAGTGGCGTCGATATGATACGCATCGGGTAACGCATCAAAAAAAATAGTACGTCACTGACCAAAATAAAAATTTCAGAGCTTTTTTTTTTACTCGGTTTATTTCCAAGAAAGAATGCCTCTTGCAGCTTTCTCCTATCTAACACCAATTTGTCACAATTTAAAAATAAATAACTTTATTAATGAGAACCTTAAAAACAGCGAATTAATGTAACTAGAGGGCTGAAACCAGGGTTGGAAAAAATCATAATTTTTTAAAAAAAATCAAAAAAATCGGATTTTTTTTATTTAAATAATTTTTTTTAGTTAAATCAGATTTCTTTGATTTTAATTCAAAACAACATTTAAATCGGATTTCCAAATGATTAGGGACTTATTTCCATTTAGAGTCCTATCCTAAATGGCTAAATCTATATAACTCTGCCCGATACCGATAACATTAACAATTCTACGGCGCGTTATCATTTTTCCACGTCGGTCATCAATATATTCCGCAAAAACGTCGCTCGCTTCGACAAAAGGATTTTTTTTGAAACATCTCAAAAATATTAACTTTTGTCATTTTAACGCCTAGGCATAAAAGTAAAGTCTGTTACGCCTAAGCACAAAAGTACAAAAATATATTATTGAACTGATATTAAGTGTCAAATTCAACGAGTGTACAATTGTTGCTGGATTTCTGTTCATATTATTGATTAAAATATTATTTGTAATATTTTAAAAGAAATAGTATGTTCTATCAGGAGTAAAAATGTACTTTTTGTGCCTCCCTGTAACGTCGGAATAGCTTTACGATGGTCCTTCAAAGGTACAGCATCGTCAAAAAAAGTATAATTTTTACTCCTAATAAAACAATACACTATTGTTCGGAAATAGCCTTAAGTCAAGAATGAAATTAGTATGTATGATCTTATGTCAAAGTGTAAAGAGAAGTGTAAAGAGAACTGCAGATCAAAATGTCGGCAGGAATTTGCAAACATACAACTGTTTCAAAAAAATATACACACAACACATTTTCTGACAACTATTATAGATTCTCGGGAATGAAGATATAGTCTCTATATCAGAAGAACCTAGTTCTGGCTCTAGACTTTGTGAATGATATGTATTCGAACAGTGAATTTTTATCACTTATACATAAATTTTAAAATAAATCCCTGCGTTTAGCGGCCAAATGGATTCACACGAAATTACTTCAAAGATCGATCCAGCATTTAAATTATTGATGAAGAGATATTTTTATATAGTTTTATAACATTGACAATTATTTTTCGATTTATTATTTGTTATATCTGTTATAAAAATATTTTTTTTTTGTTTTCTAGGAGTTTTTTTATAACTTTTACAGTTACTTTTTGATTTATTATAAAGTTTCAATAAAAATATTTTTTTTGATTTAAATCACATGATTAAAATTAAAAATATCACTTGATTTAAATCATTTGATTTAAATCATGCCAACCCTGGCTGAAACATGTGCATCGTTAGCTCCCTTCATCACTTACATGTAAATTTAAATAGGCCTAAATAAAAAAAATCTTTTATATTAGAATTCTTTTTATTGTTAATAATAAAATTCTTAGTTTTAAGGTAGTTATAATAATTCGCGTGTTTAAGGTTCTCATTACAAAAATTATTTATTTTTAAATTCTGAAATTTTTATTTTTATCAGTGGCTTACTTTTTTTTGAAAAAATTACCCGATGCATATCACATCTATGCCACTGGTTGAAACTAAAATCTCTTCTTTTTACATTTAAAATGTCTCTGTTAAGTAGACTCCTATAATACAATTTTATAACGATATATTCAACTGTTCAAAAACTATTAATGAATATCTTTCATTTGTCAAAAACTTTAACACCTTGTATCTTGCGTAAGAGGCATTTCCGACCCATAGTGTGCTATATCAAAATTAATATTTCGACGTTCTCCATTATTCCCCGTAAGCATGACCCACTTACAGGAATCACCCTGTATACATATTGAGAGACAATCAAAATGAATAAAGGCCTAATATACCTACATGAATTTAAGAAAAAAGGGAACTCACTCAATAATAATTTCAGAACGTACTTAAAATTTCCTAAACACTATGAACTGATCTCAGACACGCCCTAAAACGCATACTTGACAAATAATGATGTCGTATCGTTGAACGATCGCTGAACAGATAGTATATGGAAATAAATAGATCATTGATATTTTAGTCTGGAAAATTATTTTTATGTAATTATCCATTTGTATTTGATGCACATGCAAAAATGAAGTTATTAGAAACTGATCAATCCCTTCAAGTAAGTATTATAAATGAATTAAAAAATATAGGAAAATTAATTACTTCAAATATTTAATTTCAATACAGCCTTTTCTATATAGCCAATTTTATTATCGTGATATAAAGGTTCCTGCAACAATACGTGTAACAAGCATTTGTAGTAGTGATGGAAATACCGGTTCCACATGAGTCGCGGTACAATAGCGACCGCTATTGTAACTAGAACTAGAAAAATACCGCGACAAAATACCGCGATTTTGTAACCGAGGTTCCGACTTCCAAAGTGTCGCGGTCTCCGCTAAAAATATATATAACTTATCTATATTTGTAGATTAATGTAACTTTTATCCACCACTTATTTTCCAAATATCTAGTCTATAATTGTGTATTGTGTATAGCCAATCTATCTCATTTTTAGAAATACGATGACATTCCTTGTTATTTTCAATCAATTTTCGTTCAAATAAAATCAACGGCTCATATTTATGTGTAATGCAATATAATATATTTAATGTTAAAATCAAGAACAAAGTCCAACACTGTCAAAAAAAATTGTTTATTGGCCTAACCGAACCTCAAAAATAGATATAAACCTTTATAAACAATAAAACTTATATAAATGTATAAAAGCAAATAAAATATTTTTATTTTATTTTATTTGCTTTTGTGTTTCATATTTCAAACAACGCTATTTTGCCATGCCTAGTACATACCAAAAATCGCTATTTCGAAAGTAACGTAGCGACAGGAGCACCAACGCCAATAGTAACCGACCAAATCGCAACCGAAACCCTAGAAGCGCTCCAGCGACTGCTGGAACGAAGTTCGTCGCCTCCGAGGTCGGGCCTCGATAGTCAGTTACAGCAGGGACCAATTACTTCTGTTAGCGACAGACGGAACTACGGCTCCAGGAGCGCGACGGGCGGAGCGAAGTTACGTCGCCGCCGAGGTCGAGCGTCGATAATCAGTTACACCGGAAGTCGCCATTAACTTCCTTATTTTAAATGGAACACCGTGTATATTATTTTATTTTTGGATTTCTAAGAAAATTTTATGATGAGTTTCATTAGGTTTCCCTATACCTATTTTCAACTCAGAGATGTCTTGATTTATTTGAAAATTTTTACAGATTTACCCCTATTTTTAACAGTGGGTCTTTTACTCATTTTGAATCGGTGATAAACGCTTCTGCGAAACAGAGGACTAATACTTTCGAAGTCCATATTGACAACTAATTTATTGCATACAGGGTGTCCAAAATTTGATAACTGATTAGATTATTTTCCAACTCAAAAAAGTTAATTTTTTCAAATGAGATACCCTGTATATTTTTCGATAGTTGGATGCAGAATTCAATTCTGCATCGATTTGCTGTAACTTTCCCTATACCAATTTTCGACGGTTTTCTTGTTAATCCGTATTTTTTACTTTAATTCAATTTTTGACAGAATCGACAATATGCACCAGCAGTTGATATTAATGTTTCAAGATCGCTGGATTGGTCCACAAGGACCATGGAACTGGCCGCTACGGTCACCCGATTTAACGCCCCTCGATTTTTACCTCTGGGGGCGTATAAAAGAGCTGGTGTACTGTACGTCTGTACGTACTAGGGACGAGTTATTAAACCGTGTTAACCATGCGTTTACTTAATCTATGCCCAGACAAAATCCGGAGGTCTGTTTAGCAAGGAGTGCATCGCAGAGCTTTCAATGTTTCAACCAAAATAGCGACCACTTCGAACAATAATTTTTGTTATTATTGTTTACTTTTTTTATTATGGTAGAGATACACTAACGTCTAGTATTACACCGTTACTGTTATACGTTTGTTTTGTTATGTTATGTTATATTTTATATGATTTCACTTTTGTTTTGTTCCTGTTTTGTTCGTATGTTCTAATCACATTAAATTTCGTTACTTTAACATAATTATTTTATTTTAAAAAACACAAACGATATTGTCGATTCTGCCAAAAATTCAATTAAAATAAAAAATAAGGATCAACAAGAAAACCGATGAAAAGGGGTATAGGGAAAGTTATAGCAAATCGATGCAGAATTGAATTCTGCATCCAACTATCGAAAAATATACAGGGTGTCTCATTTGAAAAAATGAACTTTTTTGAGTATGAAAATAATCTAACCAGTTATCAAATTTTGGACACCCTGTATGCGATAAATTAGTTGTCAATATGGACTTCGAAAGTATTAGTTCTCTACTCCAGTTTACCGCAGAAGCGTTTATCACCAATTCAAAATGAGTAAAAGACCCACTGTTAAAAATAGGGGTAAATCTGTAAAAATTTTCAAATAAATCAAGATATCTGAGAAACAGTTGAAAATAGGTATAGGGAAATCTAATGACTCATCATAAAATTTCTTTAGAAATTTAAAAATAAAATAATATACAGGGTGTTCCATTTAAAATAAGGAAGTTAATGGCGACTTCCGGTGTAACCGGAAGTGATATGACCTTGAAAGTATTTTTAAATGAAAGGAAATTAAAAAAAACTCTTAAGTCTTAAAATTTCAAACTTCTATGTTTTTCCTAACCTCAAAAACTTCTAACGAACGGATATGGTGAGAAACACTGTATATCATAGTATATTATGTTTTTGTTATATCGAGAGTTAAACTTAAAATAGATGTTACATATGAGCGCAAGCGCATAATAGAATATTAAAATAAGGAAGTTAATGGCGACTTCCGGTGTAACCGGAAGTGATATGACCTTGAAAGTATTTTTAAATGAAAGGAAATTAAAAAAAACTCTAAGTCTTAAAATTTCAAACTTCTATGTTTTTCCTAACCTCAAAAACTTCTAACGAACGGATATGGTGAGAAACACTGTATATCATAGTATATTATGTTTTTGTTATATCGAGGAGTTAAACTTAAAATAGATGTTACATATGAGCGCAAGCGCATAATAGAATATTCTTAAGTCAAGTTGGGAACTATGAACAGCAGTGCGATTCTATAAACATAGTTTCTTTCTACTGACTCATTAATCGGCTAAAAATATCATAAGCTATTTTCATAAGTTATTAATATTAATTTCTTAGGATTATTGTTAAAAGTAAGGTTAGAATCAGTACTTGAAGTATGAATCAACTAAAATTATGTAATATGTAGCCAGAAATCTTTTATATTTTATAAATGCAAGACAAGTTAGATGTGTTGACAAATATAATGAAAATACTTTTCTTCAGATGCAAAATGCAATGCAAAATGCTGCTCAGCAGGCTGTTATATCTGCTCTATTTAACCCTACAAGACCAGTATCAATAACTCAGTTTCTTATGTTAAATGTTACCCGGGAAAATATTGTAGAAGATACCCTGAGAGAATTAAGAACTGTTAATACACATGATCTTAAGAAACCCTTAAAGGTAAGTGCATATTTAAATGTAAGTGGGAGTAATTTTTATGATAAAGATGCACGAAATCTATCTCATGGGTACCGTGTAAAGATAATTTATTTAACAGCTGGTAAAGGTTGTCTGTGAAGCATACTATATCGTCGGTGCGAAGTCAAAACTTCGTTACTTCAATTTCGTCGATTTTTAGATAGGTGGCGTGTTTATTACTTAAACATTTCGTGGCGCACAAGTGCATAAACCCCCTATCAATATTTCAAGTGCAGCGGTAGTTATGCACATAAAATTATGATATGTTTCATTAAATTCTTCAATCAGGCAACAAGTATCGCCTTTTCCATAGCATTAAAGTAAATAAATTTTGTGTTCCCTTTACAACAGCAAAACTACGACGTTAATATAAAAATGATAATACCATATAAACATAAACAAAAGAAACAAGTTTAGATTGGAAAGTGCTATAAGGAAAATGTAAATACTATTTGGCGTTATTCTTACAACAGTTGCTCTCCAATGCTTTCGATAATTTTGGAGCGGTTCGGCTTTTTCCGGAATTATGTCGCCAATTTTATTAATTATTCAAATTTATTATTTTCTTTTATTTTTTTTAACTTCAGACTTTATTTTATACTAGCGTGTACCAGCGACTTCGTTCGCGTCGAATTAATCATTTGTAATGGTGATGATAAAGCAAAGCAAGAATTTTCATTAACATACAAACTGGATAACATTTTCTCACATTTATGTCAGCATGAGAAAAAACAATATGGCGATATTATTATATATCTTGGTAATATTTGAGGGGTAGTTTTCATCTCGTTGGAATTTGACTTTCGAAAAATCCGTTTGCCAAAAATAAGCTTTTTACGTCAAGCAGTTTAAGCAGAATCGTGGTTAAGAAATTACCCAACTTTTTGGAACACCCTGTATGATTTTTTAAAAAAATTTCAAAATATGTAAAAAAAAACAAATAAAATTATGCTTCTCCAAGCGTTTTCCCGTAAGACTAACCGTTTTTTAAATAACAAATATTGTAATATTTGAGGGGCGTTTTCACCCTCTTGGAATTTGAGATTCGAGAAACCCTTCCTTATCGAACCTCTACACCCCACAGTCAATCCATTTGCTAAAAATCAGCTTTAAACGTCAAGCAGTTTAAGCAGAATCGTGATTACTCAATGGTCATATTTTATGAAACACCCTGTATAAATTTATAAAAAATCTTAAAATATGTAAAACAACAAAATAAAATATACGTGTTTAAGAGTTTTTCCGAAAAACTCACCGGTTTTTAAATAAAAAATATTTTAATATTTGAGGGATAGTTTCACCCCCTTAGAATTCGAGTTTCGAAAAATCCCTTCTTATCGAACCTCTACACCCTAAAGTCAATCTGTTTTCCAAAAATCAGCTTTTTATGTCAAGCGCTTTAAGCAGGATCGTGATTAATCAGTGACCAGATTTTTCGAAATACCCTGTATACATTTTTAAAAAATCTTAAAATATGTAAAAAACAAAACAAAATATACGTGTTTAAGCGTTTTTTCGGAAACTTGACGGTTTTTTAAATAAAAAATATTGAAATATTTGAGGGGTGGTTTCACCCTTTTCGAACTGGAATTTCGAAAAATCCCTTCTTTTCGAATCTCTACACCCTAGAATCAACCTGTATGCCACGGGGGTGTCACTTGTATGGGAAAACAGGCAACAGTCTTTGGCAAATTTAAACGTGCCAGGACCAACGACAAAGAAAGCCAATCAACGACAAAGAAAGCAACATCTGCCAGGCATTGGCTTTCTTTGTCACTCACATTGCTTAAATCATGATACCAGGTGGATGACACTTCTTATGGGAAAACTGGCAATGGTTGAAAACTTGACTACAAGCGATTTTCTAGGAATCTTCCTTACCGATAAATTATTGACAAGAGTGACAGATAAAGCCTTGACGTTCTTTCAGTATTCCAGTTCATCTCTTTTTCTTTCTAAAGTGTGCGTTGAAAGGAGACAAAAACAATTTTTGGTGACCCATAATTTGTTATTCGAACACCACTTTTCTCCTTGTCGGGTCGTTGACGTTGACTTGTCGCCATTTTATTTCTTTTGTTTACACGCTGCATTTTGCTTTGCAAATTTAATACATAAATTATTTAGGCAAATATATAGGTTTTTAATAAAACTCCTCGGACTAACGTGTAGGTAAGTGTTGATAATTTTTTTTTCATCTTAACATGCTCATTGTCGTTCTCCTGATTTTAGGTGACAGAAAAGGATCATCAAATCAAATTGAATTTTATATTTTCCTTCCTATTTATCCTTCCTAAATATCAACGAGATGAGCCATCGGAAGAAAGGGACCATAGTACAAAACAGAAAGGTGATCTTTTTTCTTTCCACTTCGGATATTGAAATTATTATATACTGTAGTCGTGTTCGGCATTATGCTCTGAGAAATATAGATAAACAAAGAACAACAGATATAAAGCATCCCAGAGGAAAAGAGAGGCAATACCTGTATGTACTCTCTCTGATATTTGTGAAAGTTACAGCAAAGTATTGTTGTAAATGTCATCTTTTTGATCGACCTGAAAACTTCGAGCAAAAAGATGACACTTTCAACAATACCCTGACAGATATCAGAGACGATACAGGTTTTTCCTCTCTTTTCCCCTGGAATACTTTTAATTTATTATTCTTTGTTTATCTAGATTTCTCAGAGCACTATGAACGAACTCAGCTTGTATGTTTGAAATAATCGTCCAGTTGGCTTAAAAATGATGATCGAAGACATTTCCCATATAATTTTACTTTCAAAATTATGATATATCTTTTATTTCTAAGCCATCTATGACGCCATTTTTTTCAGTTTTGTTATAATTAATTTTGTCTCTTGATCTACTTGTAAAATTATTCTTTTAATTTTATTAATTTATTGTGGTGAAATTAATTTCTGTTGTATATTTGATATTGATATTAAACATATTTTTAAAAAATGGTGTATTTTTTGTGTTTTTGTGTATGTCATAATTAAAAATAAATGAAGAAATAAATTTTTTTATTTTTTAAACTTCCCGCCATGCGTGACAATTTAGTCCGTAGTTCCTACAAGCGAAATTGGGGGCGCTAGTAGCAGTAGACTTGTCAACAGTGTCAAATTTAAACGTCAATTTCACTTTCCAATATTTAGCAAGGCGCTCGCACTTCTTCTTGTGTATGTGTTTTGTGCATGATACCGCGGCCATTTTGTCAACAAAGAAGCTGACCGGGCTGTCCTGGCAAGTGATTTAAAACAATTTTGCTTTTTTACAATATTAAATTACCATTTGGATGTATTTAATGCGATTATTCAGTTAACTGGTAAGTCAGAAATTACACACAAATACTTTATTCGTAAATACAACTAAGATGTAAACGTATTTTTGTATTTTTAGATTTCAACTTTTGCAAAGACCCGCCGATAGAACTTGCCTGGCAGCCATAGATAAAAGACTTATACTATTAAATAGATAGGCAACTTATAATACATTTCAATTTTATTATACAAGGGCGCCTCTGGTAGACGGAGGAAGAAATACTAATGGAAGAGAGGGGTGCGGGAAGGGGTTGTTTAGTTAATTTAAAATAAATTTAGACATACATGTAAGAACACTTTGTGTGCTTTTAATTAGGTCGAACATATTATAAACGATAAATCAACTGAATTAAAAGCATAAAAAGTGTTCTTATATGTCGGATATTAATTAAAAAATATATTAAAAATACTAGAAATAGTATATATTAAGTTGTTACAGTTATAATTTAATCTTTGGCGGTTTTCAGCAAATAGCAGGCAGTTTTACATAATTTTCCTCCCTTTAAAGTGAATTGAAAACGGCTAGGTATATAATTTTGGTGTAGGCAAGATTCCCAGTTTGTTTCCGTTTGGGACCTGAAATAATAAAAACAAATTAAATCAGATGTAATCATCTGCTGATCATGCTAATATAAAACACGCGTCCTTAATTCCTTACATGCACCGTAAAAAAATTAAATAACTGCTCTGCAAGTAGCATGTATTAGCAGTACTAATTTAAAAAATCTATAACTGTAAGTAGATATGTTTAATTTACTTACTTACCATTGTATCCTTCGGAAACCAGGTGTACAACAATTAAACTCCATGATAAAAAATAATTAAGAGTTATTACAAAATACAAATTGTCCAACCATTTTTAAAAAAACATTGTCTAAAACAGAATACTGGCAAAAAATCTGAAGGAATTTAATTTTACAATAATTCGACAAATCAAAACGAAATCAAATCGTAAAATCACAACAAAAGCGTCTCTGAGTGACAGTTAAAAATCAAATTTTATTATTGTCAGATATTGACATTTGCATTGTTAATATTGACAGTTTTAATATTTTGCGCCTCTGCATCTTGGAGGAAAAACTATTTTTAATGAACTGTCATTTCCATTTAAGTTTCCCAGCCATGCTGGCAGCGTACCTGTTTAACTAGACGTATTATTTCCTGATAATAATATCAAAACACGTAAGTACCTCTATAATTTATGATGAAAAATGATTTTGATTATGTTTTATATTATTTAAATACTTTCTAACCTCAAATAATAGTAAGATCCTTGTTTATATCGCACAGCCCGTTCAAAACTGTATTGTCTTCAAAAAATGTTTACAAAACAAACAATTATTAAAAAAAACAATGTCCTTTTAATCTGATTTATACCTCAGAAGGATGCCAGTAAAATTTTATTAAATCAACATTATATTATTTGGCCGTTAATATGCAAAAAGGAGCATATTGCCTTAACTTAAATTTTCTTTTACTTCTCCTGACAATATTCTCTATATTCTCTATTTTGAGTTAGTAAACGTTTGAAGGATGTGCGATATATAAAATACATAATATATCCAAGGGTATGATCTGATAAAAGTATTTTTGATGCATTTTTGGTTGTTTATGCACGTTGGCTTGGTTTATGTTTTTTTATTCAGCTTATATTTATTTGGTATAACAGTTTTTTTGCCTTTGGAATGGCATGCATTGAGGCTAGATAGTGTTTCATTAGATCATTAAAGGAATTTAAATTAGCATATATTTTTTGTCATATTAGTGTGTTATCATGATACAGGTAGTTGTATCATAGTGCTTTATGCATGTTATTTACCTATTATATACTTATGTAATGTATTATGAGTAAATAGATGATAACATACTACTAAAATGTCTTTTTAATAGTATGTTTATCTTTCCAATTCACTAGCTATTTGCAAAATGTATTTTGAACTAATTTAAGTCATTAATTGATCATCTTTCTTTTTCAGGTTCCGGGATATTCTTTTTCATTGTTAAAAAAATATATATATATTTCAATATTATTGTAATATAAATCGCAGCTCTAAAAAATAAATGATATTGCTTACTAATGTGTAATTTATTTACTATGAATTTTCCATGAAAATAATAAGTCTTTAATAATATCATTGATATGCTGTGTAAAGTTAATAGACATATTTTTTAATACATTAAATTATATTAAAGTAATAAAAAATATGTTTATTAACTGTAAACAGTAAGTCAGTAATACTTATAAAAATATTTTTTTTTAAATTTCCCCTCTTTTAAGCCTCGCCCCTCCAATTCCCCTCAATTTCGCTAGTACTGCCAGGCGACACCAGGTGGCGTCTGTTTCCATTTTTTAACATGAAGTTAGCATTTCTTTAATTTACCTATTCTCTGCTGTATGCCAAAATTGAGCTTCTTACGTTGAGTGGTTTTAGCAGAATCGTGATTAATCAGTATGTCAGTCACTTAAGGACTTTATATATTAGTATAGATAAGGACATATATGAAATAAGTGTTTTCACAATTATCACGGGGATAGCAATAATTACTTTGAAAATGGACGATTTAAACACTTTGGTATTTTTCTAACGAGGACGGTTTAAATTTTGAAAGATTTTATAATTTTTGAAGATTCTGACTTTGACAAGAGAAAATTATTTGTTATTGTTTACGGTTGTTCTTAGCAACCTTAGCAACCGCTATAGCAGCGCCCTACAACGTATCCGCCCCAAACAATTATAAGTTTTGGCGGCAAGCCGAACATTCCAATCTAAACTTGTTTCCTTTATCTATGCCATATAACCATATCTCAAAGAATGAAAAGTAAACGATATTACCATAGAAACGGGTTTTGATTTTTAGGACTTTGAACAAATTTTGGAGGGTAGAGGTAAGGAGAATTATCTTCATGTATTGAAAAGTGGCAATCAAGAGAGAACAATTAAGATGTCGCTGCTGTAGCAAAAGCTCTACCTTTGAAAGAAGCGCCAAAAAACTTTAGAACAGGAAATAATTAAAAAGAGATAGATAATTTTGCGATTACTGAAGGCGCGTATTGCCACCCCTTTTGGCTAAATTCGCTTTATTTATAGCTGCTGAGTGTCTGTTTATTTATAGCTGCTGAGTCCCGCCAAGGGATGATTCTCCATACTTCTTCCCTCCATAGAAAAAATTCTGAAAATTTTGAGAAGTATAGGAGGTTGGCCATTTTATTTAGTAATGGAAATTCATGGATAAAGGAAATAAATTTAGATTGGAATGCCCGTCAAAATTTTAGGTCGCGAACGTTGTACGCGATCTAGCGCTACTATAGCGGTTGCTAAGAATAACCAGAGGAACAACCGCAACCAATAACAGAAATAAGTTTCTCTTGTCAAAGTCAGAATCTTCAAAAATTATAAAATCTTTTAAAATTTAAACCGCCCTCATTGAAAAAATACCGAAAAGTGTTTAAAGCGTCCATTCTCAAAATAATTATTGCTATCTTGGGAGTTTAATTTAGATTTGAAAAAAAAACGTGACCCCGTGATAATTGTGAAAAAGTGGCATTAAAAACTAAAAAACTGTGTTTTGAACTGTGAATTGCAAAAACCATCGTTTTTTTTTCCATTCACATACATGTCTTTATATAAAATAAAGTTTCTTGTGTATGCAACACACTGTATTTTATTTATAAAATTAAAAGAAAATAATAGTAAATTTGAATAAATAATATTTGGCGATATAATTCCGGAAAAAGCCGAACCGATCCGAAATTATCAAAAGCTTTGGGTCGCGACCGACCGTTGTTGCAAGAATAGCGCCAAATAGTGTTTACATTATCCTTATGGGCACTTTCCAATCTAAATTTGTTTCATTTATCTATGTGGGAACTATCGAAACATTTGATAGTTGCAATTAATTCGAATTATTTGATAGCTTGTTGTGTTGGGATTTGTGATAGCTTATGAATTACAATCCATCCACAGTCAAAACTATTCGTTTATTAAATCCATTTATTCGTTAGGATAGAATGACTGGATTGAAATATGCGCTGTTGTTTAGTTGTCTCTCCACTGACTTTTTAGAAAAAAAAAACTCATTCGCTTGCACCTTAAAAAGCCTCACACAGTAGCTACAAATAAAATAGTAAATATTTTTCATTCTGACACAAAAATAAGATTTATTTTTTATATCAACATAGGTCCGATTCTACTTTATTGTTTCGTAGCTACAGGGGGTTAAAGTCTTAACTTTTTTTCGATTTATTATAATTTTTTTCTTAAAGTGTTTTTAGTGATTCAAATGAAATTTTGAGGATAAAAGTTGTCATACTTGCGATATATTTTAATGCTAAGAAGTGTCGACATATTCACCAGGGACGTGCATATGGGTTATTACTTGAATATTTTTCTAAAAAAAGCATGTACGCTATTGACTTTTGCTCTCTTGTTAGCAAAATTGTGTAATATTTTGTCGATTTCGATCTCCTTGATAAGATAAACTCAATTTTATTAATTTGCCTTAATCCAAGTCTAAGAGCAACCTTTAAATTTTTTTAATGTTATTAACTGGTCACAGTATTAAATAAGTACTCATTGATTCCTTATCAAAAAAAATATGAAAAAAAGTTCCGATCAACATGGGTTTGGAAATGCATAGTTTTAAAGTTACTTATATTTAATGTCAAACTTTTAAAAAATAGTTTTTTTGTAATTATCTTAAATACAATTATTTTTCAAGTAATATTTAATAATAAATTAGATGAAATAAATGATTTATTAATTTTATTTTATTTTAATTTTAATAATTATTATGATAAAATTACGTTTCTCATCAAGGAGATATAAATCGACAAAATATCAAGGTACTCATTTTAATCGTCATTAAGCAATATTTGCCAATAAGAGAAGGCAGTGGCGCACATAATTTTTTAAAAAATATTCCGGTGATAACCCATTTGCACGTCCCTGGTGAATATGTTGACACTTTTTTAACATTAAAATATGTCGCACTTACAATAACTGTTACCCTCAAAATTTCATTCGAATCGCTAATAGCACTTGGAATCATATTTTTACGTTAGAAATCTCCCCACGAGAGATGGCATATGTTGTTTGAAACGCCCTGTATAATTTGTCTTACTTTTTTTGTTCAGATTAAATTCTGCGGAGAGGAAGCTGAAGATGCTGGGGGAGTAACAAAAGAATTTTTTATGCTTTTACTTCGAGAAATATTAGATCCGAAATATGGAATGTTCAAAGAGTATGAAGAAACTAGAGCAATTTGGTTTTCGGAAAATCCGTTTGAAGAGAACAGCGTCTATTTTTTGATAGGTAAATTCTAATACGTAACACTTATTCATCGATATTTTAATAATTTTCCTGATTCTTGTCAATGTAGGCATGATTTGCGGACTGGCTATCTACAACTTTACCATCATAGATATACCTTTCCCCTTAGCCCTGTATAAAAAACTTCTAAACGAACCAGTAGGTCTCAATGATATGAAGGAGCTCTCTCCATCTGTAGCGAATTCTTTAAAAAGTCTTCTGGAATACAGCGAGGACGATTTACAAGACATCTTTTGTCTCTCATTTGATATTAATAGAGACATATGGGGAGAGGTAGTCACTGTAGAATTGAAGCCTAATGGTTCAAATATACCCGTGACTCAAGAAAATAAGTAAGAATTTGTCTTATGTACTTACACAGGGTGTACCAAAATGTTTGCAACAAATGTAAACGTTTTTTATTATTGAGTTTTTAAAAATCGTTTATGCTGAATTTCTCAATAACAAAAAATATCATTGTGACATATAAATGCGCATTCTCACGACTGGTGTACTTACAAATATTTGTTATTGGAATATACTTGCCATGTGAGAACGGTTTCCTTGGTCACTCGTCGCGACCCCACTTTCTGTCGGTAAATATAGCCCGAGTCAAAGGATCACAATAATTATTTGTACACTTACCAAGTGTACTTGGCCAGCCTTGTCTATATATGGCCGAGGCGCAAAAAAACGACTGCGTAAATAATTGTACTGTTATAGAGTATGTCCCGTTTATTTCCGGATTGTAGTGTTTTTCGATTTAATTGCGGATAATTTAAAACGTTAAAATAATAATAGATGATATAATATCAAATTTACATTATAACTTCAATATTGGCGACATACCTAAATTGTTCTCACACCAATAAATGGAGTGGACAAATAAAGACTACACGGAAAAAAATAGATATGTCACATTTTCATAGAAATTAAGATAGCGATACAACTTTATAGGAAATGTTAGCGTCATTCGAGAAAAAAGAAAGCAATAATACGCTTAGTCCCAGAGATATTACAGCTTGGTTATTTTGCCGTACAAGGGAAAAACCAGAGTAGTCCTTGCGTAAATGGCAAAAACTAGAGATGTCCTTACGCATGGTCGACAAACATGCATCTTGCAATTAGTATTGTGTGTTATAAATTTATGTATTGTAATAAAAACCGACTTAAATATTAATTTTCTTCCTACAACAAAAAAAAATAGTTTTGATTTAGGTTTTATACAACCTGCGTTTTTAATTGGACATCCCTGATTTTTTTCCTATTTTGTTTTGCATTTTGACATTTTTATTTCGGTATTAAGGTGGAATATAATTCAGAATTGGTAGTAATATATATTTTCTAATTATTCAACAGAAAATAGCATATTTCTTTAAAAACACTAAATTGCATTTTTCTCGGCTCCAATTAAAATGGACAAAATTGGTTCTCCCGTGTAGTCTTCAAATGATGTTGTTTTGGAATTTATGGATTTATACGAAAATGAGCCCTTTATATGGATGGCCAAACATAAAAAACATAGCAATCGTATTGCAGTGTACAGTAAAAGAACTTAAAAAGAAAAAAGAATCACTAGCAACGACAATTTCGGGACGAACGGTATCCATCGATGCGACTATACTGTTTACTTGCCAAGCATTTAAACAATCTTTGTGCTGGCGTACTTGTTGAAATAGACACGTGGTGTGGGCGCCTCACTTGCCGATGTTGTTTACAAAGTGGGGACTGGTGGGGATACTTGCCAAGTATGCCAATATTGGCGTATTTGCCAAGTAGACCAGTCGTGAGAGTGCGCCTTTACATGTGTCACGCGACATCTGCCATTACCAAAAAAATGGGAAATTACCAAAATCTTCTAGTCATATACAGAAAGTGGTCCTGGGTTATAAGATATCTAAAAAAGTCAAACAGAAAAGTGGTTTAGATGATAAATAATACGATATTAATTTTATTGGTTAAATTTAAAGGCTTTTATTAGTTAGAAAATTCCGTAATTTTTAAATTTCCTCCGTTTATCAGATAATACGAATTGTTGTGATTGGTCAAAGATATTTAAGAATGACAATTTACATTGTCATTGTCATTTACTTATGGGGTTATAATTTTATTGACGGCCGTCAATCAAAGTCAAAATTAAAATTTGATTCTGTCAAACAATTTTAAATTATTTGAAATTCTATTTTTTTATTACTAAAATGCGTTGCCGATTTAGCGAGAATTTTTTTAACCCTCAGGCAGGGGCATATTTTGAAATCACACAACCAGGCGCGTAGCGGTATTCCGTACCGCATTTATATTTTTTAGGTATTCTGTAATTTCAAATATTTTATTATAAAATTTAGCATGGTAAACAGACACAAGCAACATTTTTAATACATATTTACTTTATTAACACATAAAAAAATAAACGTATTATAAAAAAAAGGAACCGAACGAAACATTTTTAGTATTTAAAAGAAAAAAAATATATAACTCTGCCAACTCACAAGAACTAAATCATACCGAACATATTATAATAAAATAAAGGCTGTACTTAAACTGCCGTTAAACGGTAGCTTACTAAAATGCCGTTAATAGGTATGACGCCGTTGATGTGACACACTTGACGGCTTTATGAAATATAGAAATTTTATAAGGACTAACCAACGCTATCCACCCCACCAAATAATCAACGCAACTAACCTCGACACTGATAAAAAATATAAAAAACAAATATAAATTAGTAAGGACTAACCAACGCTATCCACCCCACCAAATAACCAACTTAACCAACGCAACTAACCTCGACACTGATAAAAAATATAAAAAACAAATATAAATTAGTAAAAATCAACCAACCCCACCAAATAACCAACTAACCAATGAATTAACACCCTCCAAATAACCACGCTAAACAACTCGCCAAATAACTAAACCAATCCAACTAAAAAGAGTGAAACCAATGCAATAAGATCATGCTATAAGCAAAAAAAAATATAAAAAAGTCTTGGTCGGCGTGAGGTTTGAACCACGGACCATTCGCTTACGAAGCGATAGCCTCAGCCACTGACCCACAGGTGCTCTTGCAGAATGCTTAAGGCCCGGCATTACTTTCCGGCGACATGAACGACGTCACAATATCTATTAACGGCATTTTAATAGGCTACCGTTTAACGGCTGTTTAAGTACATCGTAAAATAAACCTAACAGAAAGTTTTAAATATTCAAGAAAAACATTTAACCACTCACCGGAAGAAGATGAAACTACCGTCTAAATATTTAGTCCACTTCTGTAGGTAGATATCTACCGGTGATACAATTGATTAGTCTATCATTGTAGTTTTCGCGAACAAGTTTGTAGCCTTAGTTGCAAAAACTAGTAGTTTTATGGATTTCACATACATGGCAGGGACCAACTTACTTCTTATTGTCTCTAACTAGTACCTTTACCTCTGAAAGCATATTTAGCGAGGAAAACTTGGACCTCTCTGAGAAGAATTTGTATACTGGCGCTTTCCGTCATTTACTACAGGTTATATAACATATATTTAACAGATTGTTGTAAAATCAATCGAAAGAATTAATTAGCAATTTAAAATGACACCAAACAAAGCAAAACAATTAAATAATATGATAATTATTTTATTTACATAACCGGGCGCGTAGCGGCACAGAGTGCCGCAACTTTTGTGGTTGTCAGGTTTACAATAGAATTGCTACTGAATCAAAATCGCTGGATACCCAACTACTACAACCCAGGGTGTCAAATATCCCTAAATACGCATAATTAATGTTAAGTTTTTTGATATATATTCAATACTAGAATTTATATGTTACAGTTGAGGGTTGGAACCTTTGGTGTTACACAGCAAAATAAAACACTAAATCACCACAATACACCAAAACACTTTTACTTTTACACTGGACGCGCGTTTCGCTAACCATGTTAGCATCATCAGCAGATGATTATAAACTACAATCTACAATTTGAGCGTTTATATACTGGCAATTTATAGGACTAAGTTAACAAAAAATATAGGATCTTCTTCCGATGCGCAGTACTGAACGCAACGGGTATTGGCAGCCAGACGGGCCGCATGCTGTTCCAGAGAGCATAGTAAAAGATATATCAAAGAGTCTTAAAATACTTTCTCAAAAACGTTGCTAGCTCTTAGACTATTATACATACATATTAAGAAGTACGAGTATTAATTATCTTAGGGCATCTTGAACTTCAAGAGTATCAAAGTGTATATTGTGTAGAACATCAAGTTTTTTCAATCAATACGATTTACCTGAAAAAAAAAACTGGTATATAAATAAGTTACTGGTATAAGTTATAAATTTAGAGATAATCAAAATGAACAAAGGTCTAATATACCGTATGAATTATGAAAAAAACGGCTTCAAGTTCGCTTGGAAATGAACATCGATGACATTCCCCATATAAAATGACAGCGATCTTCATCTCATAGCCATCGCTGATGCTGTTTTTTTTTTGATCATACGGTATATGATCAAATCATAATCATGATCATTATCATACGGAACCTACATGAATTTAATAATAACGGGACTCACTCAATTAATAATTTTAGAACGTACTTCATATTTTCTAAACAATATGAACTGATCTCAGACAGACCCTACAACGCATATTTGACAAATAATGATGATGTAACGTTGTAATGTTGAACAATCGCTGAACAGACTTTATATTATGTTTTCGGTAATTTGCCGCCACGATAGATTTTGCATGACACTATGTTAAAATGATATTTTTTGTTATTGGATTTGCTGAAGAAATTTTATTCAAACTGTTTGGCACACCCTGTGCAAATATTGACGAAGCTGAAATGAAAATGCAATTTCCGCTATTTTAGACAGGAATACGTTAATCTTTATGTAGACTATGTATTTAACAAATCCGTTCAAAATCAGTATGATGCGTTTCATAAAGGGTTTATGAAAGTTTGCGATGGTAGAGTGCTGCAGCTGTTTCATTCTCATGAACTGATGGCTATAGTTATTGGAAACGAAAATTATGATTGGCATGCGTTGGAAGAGGCAGCCGAGTATAAAAATGGGTATAAATCGTCAGATCCGACAATAAGGTGTCTATAAATAGCATATATGTATTGATATTTTTCATCTACACATGATATATTTCAGACACTTTTGGGAGGTTATTCATGAAATGTCGTTAGAAGATAAAAAGAAATTTTTGTTGTTTTTAACTGGTACCTATAGAATACCTATACAGGGTATGAAGGGTATTAAGGTAGGTTAATAAAACTAGAGTTTCGAACTGGATTTCGAAAACTAGAAATACCAATCGATGACATTCCCCATATAATTTTACATATTAAATGACAGCGATTTTCATTTCATAGCCATTGCTGACCCCGTTTTTTCCGATCATATTGTATTTTTATATTTAAATATAATTGTTTTGTATAAGTATCAAACACAACTTCTAATCGTGCTTATCGTGTCATCTTCATGGATAAAAGAAACAAGTTTAGATTGGAAAATGCCCATAAGGACAACGTAAATACTATTTGGTGCTATTCTTACAACGGTCACTCTCCAAAGCCTTTGATAATTTTGTGGCTTTTTCCGGAATTATGTCGCCAAATACACTACTCAAAACAATTAATGCATATCTGGAGCCGCGCTCACATGCAATCAAATAGTCCGCCGATCGACTTCATAAGTATGTATTGTTTTTACTGTTGCAACTAAATAGTCGGCCGATTAAAAACTACAGGGTAGTGCGTATGCTTATTTTATCGAATTTCCCTTCACAGTCTCCATACTATTTGAAATCGTAAAAAGTAACGTAATTTTTTAGAAAATATGCGATAATTGTTTTGAGTAGTCTGTAGTACAAATTATTATTTTCTTTGAATTTTTTAAATAAAATACAATGTGTTGCATATAAGAAACTTTATTTTTTACAGGATGCTACAAATTCGAGGTACGAGCATTGGTATCTCGGTAACCGTAATAGATACGAACATGGTTAAATTCGGGCAAAGTTGCGTATTGGGATGTTCACCAAGATGTCATCAAAAAAGTTTTAAAAATTTCAAGGATTGCTGAGTTTTTTGGAAAAAAACTGATTTATTTGAAAATCAATTTTATTTATAGCTCTATGAACTTTCTTATACTTCCGAATGCATTTTGTACTCTTTATTGTAAATGTTGAGATGAATTGATTTCACTTTTACAAATGACGTCAAGTAATGTAGCCTCTTGGCGATAGATCCAGGAACCTCGCTGGACATTATACTGCTCCACCATTTCCAATCCATCTTCCGGAAAAAATGATTTTATTGTTTATATTATATTTATATTAATTATTTTATTGCATTTGATTTTCCGTATACAATGTTTTACCCCACATTGTTAAGTTTGAAAGCATATGAATACTGTAACGACGAATAGATTAAATATTTAAGTGTGGCATATCATTGTACTCAGGAGACCGAGTTCTTTCAAAATCTGAAATAAAAAATGCAGGTCCGTATTTAAAAAAATTAAGTTGGCCTCTGTATCTTACAAATTATCAGCTAATTGGAAAATCTAAATACACTGTCAGATAGCCCTAATATAGTGGCTATTCTAGAATGTGTAATTAGTTTTTTGATTTTCTAAAAAGTAACGCCAGAAAAAATAAAATTGATTTTCAAAAAAAAATCAGTTTTTTCCAAAAACCTCAGCAATCTTTGAAATTTTAAAAAACTTTTTTGATGCGGTGTCTGGTGAACATCCCAAAACGCAACTTTGCCCCAGTTTAACCATGTTCGTATCTATTACAGTTACCGAGATACCAATACTCGTACCTCGAATTTGTAGCACCCTGTATAAGGACACGAACGAAATACCTATGAAAGATTGGAAACCAACGTTTGGCCACGATCCACGATGGTTTTTGCAGTTCACACAGATTTTTAAGTTTTTAATGCCACTTTTTCACAATTATCACGTATTTCGGTAAATAAAATTTAAATTAAACTCGCAAGATAGCAAAAATTACTTTGAAAATGGACGCTTTAACACTTTTCAGTATTTTTTCAAAGGGAGCGGTTTAATTTTGAAAGATTTTATAATTTTTAAGAATTCTGACTTTGACAAGAGAAAATTGTTGCTGTTCTGGTTTGCGGTTGTTCTTAGCAACCGCTATAGCAGAGCCCTACAACGTATGCGCTGCAAAACAATTATAAATTTTGGCGGCAAGCTGAGCATTCCAATCTAAACTTGTTTCCTTAACTATGATATTTATGGCAGTATCCGGTTGACTTGGTCCAAGTACACTTTGACCGTGTCAACCAGGGGCCCGATTCTGTAAACATATTTCCTGCCTAGTGACTCCTCAATCGTATACAAATAACATACACTAGACAGGAAATTTCTTGCTACGGAGCTTACAGAATCCCACTGCAGGATTTACTAGATTTTTTGGTTGTAAATGCGGTTTAATTAAATTTTATTATTTTTGAGAAATAATTACAATGTTTGTAAAATTGAGCTAATTTTTTTAGATTGTAATTCAGCCGACCAATGACGATAAATTTCTCCCGGTTGCCCACACTTGCTTCAATTTGTTGGACTTACCTCGATACAAGACTAAAGAAAGGCTCAGATACAAGCTTATGCAGGCCATTCAGCAAACTCAGGGATTCTCATTGGTGTGAGAACGATTTCGAACGTATATTTTTACAGTTGTTATGTCGTAAGGATTGGCCTTTTACAATCGTGTGTAAGCTAGTCTATAATTTTTGTATTATGTTTATAAATACATTCAAAGGAAAGAAATCAATATAACTTTATACAATTATAAGTGATTTTTTACAACCACGCGAGAGACGTATTGTTATTTTATAAAACAAATGGAACTAAGGATAGTTATGTAGTTTTTAGTTATTTTCCAGACACTTAGCTTTTTGTACTACAATTAATATTGTCCACCATTCCAAAGAACTAAACGCCAAAAGCAATTTTCTCTCTTCTAAATATTACGATCATTAAATTTATAGTATTCTATGATCGATAAAATATATATTAATCCGGTATTTTTAGTGCATAAATAATATATAACTACAATTTAATAATATTTTTAAGTGACTCAGTTTTTTGAATCGCAGAGGAGCCCAACAAAAAATTCGCAACATGTGGAATCAATTCAGCATGTCCAATAAAACAGATCACTTTGACAACTGTCACGGCTGCAAAAAAATAGGATCTCGATATCTAACCACGCTTTTTTACATTTTAAAAGTGATTCTTGCAATTTGCCTCTTTTTGTCAGTGAATATGCTGAAATGATTGAGAATAAACCTTTTCTTGGTAACTGGATAAAAAATACCACTTTTAACTTTTTAGCAGACAGAATTTCATCCATTCCGAGACTATATTTGAAAACAAGTTAAGCCTGTCAATTGGCTTTTACTGCTAAAATAAATTATTTCTTTAATTAATTATATTTACTAATTTCATGATCATAGGACGTTTCTTAATGTATTTTTTCATGCCATCTTTCATATATCTGCCCCACAATATATTTTTACATACAAAAGGTCATGAATCGTACAATACCTAACCTAACCTAACCTAACTGACCACACGGTACTCTTAACTATACTTAAATAACTTTACTTCTAATTTAAAATTACTGTCATTTTAATTTCAAGATTGTCTCTTTTCTATAATTATTAATAATGTTTTTAAACCGTCAATGTCAAATAGAAATAATTTAAATACAAAAATTAGAATTTTGAAAATATGAAAATAAATTTCATACCCATATTTAAAATCATTTTCCAAACAGCTGTTTATTCTGTTTTTGACCAAAGAACTGTACAGTTCTTTATGTGATTGGTTTTATGTGTCTGGAAATTGTGATTTAGGACGGTTATTATTCAACGTTTGCCTGTTATTTGTTTGCAAAACAAGTGATTTGTAACATTATTAGAGAAAAATATATATTTTTGTAATAAAGACTTCTTTATACACCATTTCTAAGCTTCGTCTATATTTAACTACAATATACTCTACATTTATTTTGAAAAATGTAATTATTTTAGAATGTTTTTTTTCATTGTTACACCTTGAAATGAATAAAAATAGTTTAAAACATATCTAGTCATTTTTTCAATCCTAAAAAAATTGACCAATATTTTGACACAATTTTGCACAAAATGTTGACAATCCAAAGTTTAAAGGAAGATACAGGGTGAGCCAAAAAAATCCAAAAAATTAGATTTTTATTGAGTTGCTGAAAATTTATATAGAATTTCTACAGCATGCCCATGTAATAACGAAAAAGTACATTTTCATGCGACAGCTGTTATGGCAGCAAATTATTAAAATGGTCTTAGCATGTGCAAAAATTAGGGGTTATGTGATCACCTCACCAATAAAAAATCCCATTTGTTGCAAACATTTTGGCACACCCTGTATACTCAGGAAAAAAGCAGGTAAATATTTTTTTTTGCTATTATAAATATTCCGTGCATTCGGTTCAGAGTGAGAGTAAGCATCTTTAGGAACCGTTAAACTGGGGAAAACAGTCTAGTCAGAAGATATACAGAGTGGCCCATCGAAAACGTTCCGCAAGGCATAACGGCCAGAGTAATTTTTTTTCAGAAAATTTAAAAACACGTCAATTTTGTTTGTGAGGGGGACAACTTTTGCCCCAAAAATGATTGCAAAATCTTCAACCCTCTACTGTTTGACCAGCGGATCTGAAGCTACGGAAGGAATGCGAGAAAAAAAAATCGATATTGCCACGTTTATCTATAAAATTGCAAAATTGCCAGACATGAACTATAAATTTCATATATTTTTATTATATATAATGTGTTTAGCATATATTCTGACGTATATTACTAAGGAATTTTAACGTAGTTCATATTGTTCAATATGTTTTATTTAATAACTAATTTCTTTCATTCTGTATAATCTGCTTATTATGGAAGGTGAAGATTTTTCAACGATATCATTAGCAAACCGGCATCGCCGCCTATTCATCGAACATGATTGGCGAGAGTACGTCACAGGATTTGTTACCACGCGGTTGCCATGACTTTTACGCCTTTCCTATTCGCTATCTTTATCCCCAACTTCACGGTCTCTTCTGAAAAGAGTAGAAATATTGAATACTATTGAAATATCCAGTGGCGGTGTTATTCTTTTGATGATTATTACTTTCTTTCATTATTTTATACCGGTTATCCTAAATTTTATTCCTATATTTTTCGTATATTTAATAGTTAAGTTGTGTTTTATTGTTTTGTTATCTTGCTATAATGTTTTTCGTTCGTAGTTTTTAATTATTAATATTAAGTTTGATCGTATATTTGTGTTTTAAAATGAATAAATTTGTTAAGGGTAAGACGCTACATAGCCAGACAAGAGAAATAATAGCTAATTTATATAGGTAAGTAGAATAATAATAATATATGTAATTATTAAAATATTAAAATTAAATATTGGCTAAAATAAAAAGCACGTATTTTACCTAAATATTTTAGCCAAACTAAAATAAATATAAATAAACGTGGATGAAATCTCATTTGGTTTATTTCCTTGTGTTCATAATAGGGTTTGCGACGAAGAAGCTACAGAGAGTTCGCTTAAGTTGCCGCTTAAACGTAAACTTGCGCGGATATCTCTTTATACCGGAGTTAGCGCATCGGCTATAAAAAATTCACACAGAAGATAAAAAAGGCTGGAAACTAACCCCGATAAAATGATATCCAGCCCTGGAAAGAAACGACCACGTGAGACTGCTGTTGAAAAGCTCGACGACTTTGATTTTCAAGTGGTCAGGTATTTGATAAATAGATTTAATTTCGAATTCAAAGTCGTCCCCACAATTAGAAAGCTTTTGCAAAAATTGCAGGAAGAATCGAATTTTCCTTTGGCAGGGAAACGCTTAGGGGGTTATTAAAATCAAATGGATTATTTTGGCGTAAAATAACAGATAAATATTAATGGAGCAGCCCATTATATTGCAGAGAGAGATATAAATATATACGCGAAATTCGAAAATATCGCCAAGTATTATCTATTTGGATGAAACATGGGTAGACAATGACCTAACCTTTAAAAAGTGCTGGCGGAGCGATACCATATCTGGTGTAATAGGCAATATTGGATTTACTGGTGAGTAAAATTATGTTTTGTTTGCGTTTCCAAAGTTAACTATTTTCAAGATTTTTTTTTGCTGGAAATAGTTCAACGCTTTTTTGCTGGAAATAGTTCAGAACTTCAACGCACAAGTTACAGAACAGCTATCTAACAACTACCGCACCTGATCGTTCAACCTTGTGGCAAGTGAAAAAATGCGTAAACATCTAGAAATAATAAGAAAAAACAGCAAATTGGTCGAAGGAATTTATCCTTATCATTTAGTCTGATAAATGTTTAAATAAACTTTTCAAATTTCAATCCTTCATATTTTCTCAATGACTCGGCCGATTTTCAAAAACGAAGAGGGGAAATATAGAGAATAGAAAGCTCTTTTCATTGCGGTACCACTTGACCCCCCTTCCCATTTGAAAAAAGTTGGGGGATGACACCCCCGCTTAGAGGGTTGAAGATTTTGCAATCATTTTTGGGACAAAAGTTGTCCCCCTCACAAACAAAATTGACGTGTTTTTGGATTTTCTGAAAAAAAAATTACCCTGGCCGTTATGCCTTGCGGAACGTTTACGATGGGCCACCCTGTATAGCGTCAAAGTTATATTATAAAGGAAAAAATCAATGTCATACAAAAAGAGGAAAAACCAGGCAAGTTGTTGAGTTCGTCCGTTTTGTATGTTACATATGTTGGTATTTTATCTAATAAAAACATACCTTTAAATATACCTTACCTAGGTCTAACTAATCTCTATTTCTATCTCCAGGCCTGCTGCCAATTTCTGTTTTGTTGCTTTTCTCAGTTTGGAGAGAAATTGACTTACCTGCTTTTTCCCCTGACCCTTCATGTGTAATAATTAAAAAAATCGAGATCTTTTCTACTGTTTATTAACTTATTGAAAATAGACCTCTGTCCTAGGGTCTCACCTTCCATTGCAAAATATAAATAAGTATTCCTATTAATATAAAAACCACAATAATTATTAAAATACATACATTAACATACAGAAATTTGAAGTATTACATAAATAGTAGTTTTAATAGAAAAAGTATAAGCAGAAAAATTCAATACAAATCATATAATCCAATAAAATTGTCATTTGAAAAAAAAAATTACGGGCAAGCTGATGTCTTCTGAGTGTAAAATAATCAAAATCGGAAATTTTCCCCTTGCGGTTTTTGAGTAATAGGGGTGGTTTTTTAAAACTGTACTACAACTAAATAATTAGACGCCAAATTGTACATAAGAACATTCTTTATAAGTTCGCCTAATGAATTCTTTATAAGTTTATTATTTCCGGACTTAGCGGCCGTTTCATGAGCCCTTTGGGATGGTTTTCATAAAGTTTGTTTTACAGTAAATTGGCCCGTATGAAAATTGTTCATAATAAATGAACAAGCAACTTTTCCTCATTATTTTTTTTGTAGCTTCATTATTTTTGGAGATAGCGTCCAGTTCATGAACAAATTAGAGTAGTTTTCAATGTTACTCTTTTTTCAGAAAATTTTGAAATTGTTGAACGTCCACAATTTCAGCAACATTCAATAATTTCTTCCAAATAAAACACGAATCCGTTTTCCAATAGCACTTGTGAATTTCCTGAAAAAAAAGACATTTAAAGCTACCACCACTTGTTCATGATCTGGGCGCTATCTCCAAAAATAACCAAGTTACAAAAAAAGCTCTTAAGTCAAAGGTATATGTACTCTTATTTTGAACGAGTTTCCTAGGGTGAATTTGCTGAAAAAAGAGTAACATTGA